TGGTAACTCATCTTTTAAGTTGGCAGTTACTAGTTAGTACAAGTAGGTACTTCGTTGGGTACTTCCATGTTTGAACTTCAAAATGTCAGTCTTAATACGCTGCCAACCTAAAACTTAACGGCATAAAAAGTGTTCCCAACATAAAACATGTTAGTTCTAATGTTCCCTATAGTTTCTGATAATGATTTTTTAAATTAAATTTAAGCACCGAAATAGAAAAAATAGTATGAAAAACGCGTGTTACAATGCTTTATTGTAATACTCCTATCTTGCGGGCACTCGTGGCTACGCTTCGCGTCGCCACTCGTGCCACAAGATAGTCGTATTACAATAGGTCGCATTGTAACACTTGTGTTTCAATATACTATTTTGTGGTTTACCAGGCCCTCATGTTAATTTTAATATCAGCCAATGCATTTTATCAATCGTAATTATAAGTATATTATAGCTATCTTGTGAAGAATGCTTATAAGTACTTACCTCTTTGCTTTAACTAGTTAGTTCTACTACCGAGTTTACCCATTTCCTCAATTCACTTTTTTTGATTAATTAAAAAAAGGTATTATAATGGGTCTAACGTTAATTAAAGAGAAGCCAAAAATTCTTTCTGTATATTTGAAAATTGTCGTACACATAGTATCTATACCCTCCGTCATCAGTGCTTTAACATTTGTTTTGCACAGTATTTTTGATATAATACATGGCTGTAGAAAGGCTTGTGGATTCAATTCTTCTGAATGCTTTAATAACTAAGTAATGAATTCAAGGCTGTTTCGTACTTAACCGTCCATCTAGTCGTCGGGTTCCAAAACGTGTACCTTGCTGCGGTTTCCCGACTTTTCAGATATACATGAATTTTTTGTTTCAAATATTGCAAATTCTTCTTGATGAAGAAAACGAGAAAAGCTTCCCTGCGGAGTTCGGCTCTTAAGTAACTATTGTATTATTCGTTTCTTGATATAGCCTTTAGGTCAACATAAGCTCCTAGAAATTATAATTACCTTGTCAATAAATGTATGGATAATAATAGGGAATTAAATGAAAAAATGAGGTTCTAAACAGCAGTAAGTAGAGTCCAAAAACCACAATTAGTTAAATGCGAGATTCTGTCTCCACCTGCATTTTTGAAAGGGATTCATATTCCAATTATTTGGAGTAAAGTTTCTTACCTATAATAGCAGCAGTATCGTTTTCAACAACGACCGTTTCAAAATGAACTCGATTTCCACTTCTCCACATGTGGACAATTAACGTTTGGCTCGGTTCCACCACTCCCGCGAATCGTGCCTAGAAAACGGGCCAATAAGGCCGTGAAATTATTTTCACTTCTTACTTTAACAGCCCTAAAGAGCTCCGGGTCGTTAGACGCGAACGCACCCATTATTAAACGAACCGATATACCCAACGTACACAATCCGTGCAGTATTGGTTTGTCATATCCGACGAGCGTAGAAAAATTGGGATCGATATGGATTGGATTAAAATCGCCTACAAGTGAGTCAGAATAAAACTTAACATCATAATGCCTTACCGCTTAATCTGTAAAGCGCTGCTTGGTCTATTGTTGTTTTGTACGTTAGGGATAGGTCGGGTTTACGGGCTGGTTTGGGCAGACAGGGCACGATGTGCTTGCTAGTTCTGGGCCCACCGAAGTTGCCAGCTCCAACGGCAAATAAAACATACTGATTTCGCATAATTATCGCATCTTGCTCATTGTAACAGTTACCTAAACTTTAGTTTTAATATAAATATTCTATTTTTTCTACATCTTACTCTCCACGACAACTAAGGCACCAGATCCCTTATCCAATACCTCCACCTTTTTCGGAATACTCAGTAATGTACCAGCCTCAGGAAGGCTTTCGTAGATCTCCAGGTATTGTTCACCGTGAAGTGAATTTTCGAAAGAAAGTTTTGTTCCATTAATTGTTTGCGTTAATAGAAAAGGTATAGTCGCTTGATTACCAGGTAAAATGTAAAAGGACGGAATAGCTCTGAAGCTGTGGTGATTTTCGTACAATAAATTTCGATCCTCTTCATTTTGAAGGGATGCTCCCACTAATAATAGAAACGCATTATTTTGACAACGAATTGAAGGAACTACCTCCCAATGCATACAGAACAATATCTTTAGAAGAAAATGTAAATATGTCGGTTTCCCTAAAGGGAGTGGGTTTTTCTTCTCCTTTAGAACGACATATTTGAAGCTTCCCAGTGCTGCATCCAGACGATTCTAATATTGATCCGTTCTCTTGACAACTTTCGTGACATAAATAATTCTGAAAACATTTAGTTATTTTATTTTATTTTTATTTCTAAGTGGGCGGAGTTTCAGCTAAAGCTGCTCTACCAACCCAACCCACTATACATTTATAAATATCCATGCCCGAACTGGGATTCCAACCAGAAACCCTTAGTACCGCAGTACTGCGCCACCCAGGTCGGCTTATTTACGTAAAAAAATACTTACAACGGGTACATTCAATTCCGATTTCAAATCTTGGTACAATTCTTCAGGAAGAATATCTTGTGTAAGCCTGTTAGTGGCAAAACTGCCAGAAAGACTCGAACCCGAAGATGTTATAGTAACTCGACCATATCCTTGCTTTTTCATAACTCGAAATGCGGATTGTGGTATTTTGAAGCTTCCCTTTAAATGCCCAATCTGAATTACATCTAAAAATTTCATAAATTACAGACTATTACAATAGTGAATTGTACCCCAATCGTCTTCAGAGAGGTCTACAAAGCTTCTATCTCTTAGAATACCAGCATTGTTTACAAGTATATCGATCCGCCCATAGGTATCTAGGGCTGTTTTAATTATTTTCGCCACCTCGGATACGGAAACATAATTGGCCACAGTGGTACAACCTGTAATGCGTATGCAATTAATGCAAAAGTGCAATTTAGTTATGGACCTGCTTCTTTAATTTCTTTATCAACAACATCTGCTGCTTTATAGCCCGTACTTGGTCCATGAAGATCATCGTCCATATCGTTTATAACAACTTTTGAACATCTGGATGCAAACAACAAAGCGTATGGTTGCCCAAAACCCGCATTGGTACCAGTAATTACCGCTACACTACCATCAAATCTAATTTTCGACATTTGAGGTTCAATCTAGAGCCACTCCACAACTCAATTAGCATAAGAATAGGCGCACTTAATCTCTTGGCATATTAAAACAATAACTCAATTGCTGTTATCAGTAATAAGACAATTATACTCATCATGTCACACCTTTACGACTAGATTAATAGTTCATTTTTATCAGCTTTGAAGGTAAGTTTGTCCATATTGGAAGTTCTCAGTTATGAAGATCTAGATATAACTAGATACAACAATATAGCTCAAAAGACGGTGCCATCTATTTCTATCACTCTCAGTACTTCAATTACGATTAGCTCTATCTTTTAAAAGGTTCTCTCATCATGGAAAATCAAATTCACATTATGTTGCGTCTCGCATTCAAATTATCAGATTTGAGTGATATAACACTGTACAGTGTACAACATGCCAGATCTATGTTTATTAAGGACCCGTGTCGTTATCCCTCTGTTCATCTGTCTGGCCGTATGTTGTGCGCACGATAGACATGATTCTAAGGTCTTTAAACTTATTGAATTTGAGGTCAAATGTCCGTCCGCGAGTTTGTGCACTTACTTTGGTGACCGTTGACCTCAAATTCAATAGAGTTCTTACTTGCACCAAGAGAACACAAAATACCAAGTTCCAAGACCCTCAAAGGCGTTAAAGAATGTTATTGTACGGACGATCAGTCGGATCCTTTTGATACTCCGTTGTATCGATTTATTATTTATTCAATTATCACAAAAATTGAAAATGTGATAAATAAATAAACATGCAAAAGAACCAGACACATCAAATAAAGATTTAGTAAATAATTAATAAATCCAACGCATTAGCGATTGGCTAAAGCGTATTTTTCAGACGTACTAACCGATCAGACGTTCGTCTGCGCCGAATCGAAAAATTATTCGACTATCTTTTTCTCTTTTCCCCCATCCAACGTGGTGCTAGTGTTGAGATCTCATACCCTCAGACGGACGGAGCTACGTAATTCACTCAACTATATATTTTTTTTTCCGCGGCTTGAATAACAGATGGATAACTAGTCAAATGCTCGCGACTTCATTTTCGATCCACCATCGTGTCAGTTTGAAAAATATGTACACACTGTATTGAGTAGCATTTTTTATTACTCCGGGTATAATTTCAAAAATAGCGAAACGTTGAAGGTTGTTTGAACGTTCTTAAAAACCAGAAAACTTTCTTTGCTGGGTGCAACTTTTAACTAGCACAGAATATTGCGAATACAGTCATAAATTTCGCAGATTGATTACCGATTGATATTTTACAAAAAAAGAAAGTATACTTAATTACTGAGCAAGAAATAGCAAAAGCTGTATATACGGTGCGGTAAACTTTATTATATAAAAGCAAAAATTGAACGGTATGTATGCAAAATACATTTACGGAACGAGAGTATCCACAATTAATACGGTACTTACAAATGTAACTAGCAAAACATCAAAGGCAAAAGATCTTACGTTTCGGTTAAGACACCAAATGCAAAAAGATCAATGATTTAAATACGGTACGGTTGAAAACGTAAATTTACGGAAAGGCTCAACATTACGGTACTTACGAACGTAACTTACGAAGCAAAGGGCAAAAAGATCCCCTCTAAACAACGGCTTTACCTTTTACAAAATTCGGTCATGTAATGGAGAGAACGACGGTTTTCCAAGCCGACAGTATGTATTCGGGTATCTACATTCAAAAATTAAGACTTCCTTGATTAATTGTGCGGTCTGTGGACGCCCCAACAATCTGTAATTGGTCTTAACATTTAAATTAATTAAGATACTGGCCTAAACCTGCATAGCCTGGCAGTTTTAATGCTCGTTTTAAATTAGCATAGTAAACTAAAACCTGCTAATAATTATTTAACGGGACTGATTCCAAAATATTCTATATTCTAAAATATTAATTTGGAATCATCTTCTAAATGGCAAGAGCTGTCGCGCGCACCAAAAATAATTGAAATATCTTGACGGGAACGGTTGCAAACGGCGATTTAATTACAACTTTTGTTTGCTGTAACGGCAGCTGAAACACAACTAGAAATTAAATCAATTCCCTTTACCTTCTACCATTGTATTTATAAATACAATGCTTCTACCTTCAACTCCCAAATACTTTCGGCACGTTACTTTTTCGTAACTTCAAGATACCGGGTGTTTACATACCGAGTGGTCATGAAAGTATATAAACTTCAAGGTTGAAAATAGGTGCCTCATTATATATTGAGCATTTTTAACACCAAAGGTGAAACCTTTGTTTAAATATCTAAAGGTAATATTTTGCTTGTTTCCACCAAATAATACACTGACTTTGTCCACGAGCCTTGAAAATTTTGGAAATTACGAATTCCGGCCAAAACGATTTAACTTTTTGAAAAGCGACCTTAAAAATTCTGATACCACGTCAGTAATCTAGTCACCCCAATGACAAAAACGCGAGGACCGTACTGGTCACTTCGAAAATCAAAACACGAATCCTTCAATTGTAGGCACCTTGAATGCAAAAATGGAAATTCTTCTTTTCTAGAGCATCGTACTGGTCACCGCGAATGGCAAAACGCGAATGCCTAGATGTTTTCCAAAACCAATCCCCCCTTTTATTACTGAGTCAAATTTGACTATCACTCAAAATGGCGATGTCTAAATTTTCATTGGTTGCTGTCTTTATTACTACCAAGAACAAACGGTTAAAGATCCTACTCAATTCAAAATATGCAAGATCAGCAGTTCCCCAGTACGAGTTTACCTCACGACGAGCTATATCTCCATTAATCAAAGCTGAATTTGCACCCCATCGCCGATATCTTAACGCCTTAAGCCCGCTTCCCAGCTTCACCGTCTGATTTCTACGTAGGTATTGCGGGCGTAAGCCGTTAATCCCTGGGCCGGCTAAGAAGGAATTGATCCCCTTCTGTATCCAACACAATGAACCATTATTTTACCTCGGTTAATAACATACTTTTACTTTACACTTAGTTGTATACACATGCAATTTTTTAATGTAGCTTAGCGGAAGAACGGGATGTAAATATTATTGTAGCGAATATTCCAAAAATCCCGATAGACATCGAGGCGCCATGAAAGATTAGTGGGCGGTGAAAAAAAACGAAGGCAGATATGACGCAATCTCTCTCGGAAATATGACGTGTTGTGTTTTAGAACACTGAAGTAAACTCGCGAACACCTGCGTTTACTATATAAGTAAATCGAATTGCGTTTCATGACAGTTCCAATTTCAACGCCGCAAGTAATAAATAGTGTGCGCCGTTATAAATTGGGTATATGTGGTTGATAAATAATATTTTAATTGTTATAAATCGATTCATTTCAAGACTTTTTATTATCTGTAAATATATAAAGGACGTAATTCAATTTACGTTACATTATTATTGTAATTTGTAAGCTTTAAGTTTATTGTATTTCAAAGATTGCGAAGAATTATATTTAAACAAGTGTTCAGCAAATAAAGGAAGTAAGGAAACCTTTAATATGGAAATCTGATAACATAAGAAAAGTTATATGAGTTGATCATATTATTTTTGTTTATAATATTAGCCCAGCAATTTCCATAATTTTCATCGGTATCTAATGACAGAATTCAGACTATCGCATAATATTGTATTCCATTTAACTTGACACCATGGTGTTATGCCATGGATTTTCTCAATTTGGATGTATAGAAGATTTGAATAAATTACTGGAAGTGGTACGTAAAGAGGCTATCTTTGTTATCAATGAATAAATTTGTCTTCTTATAGTCCAAATTTATACGTTTTATTTTAATACCTGTAACAAAAAATGTACATTTGAGCTTTCGGAACGTTTCTCTGCAGGTTAACAGAACAAAATACCGTATCATCATTGAGTTCTAAGTTTAATATTGCGTCGTATTGTTACAGTTCATTTCGTATATAATGGGATTATGAAAGCAGTGAAAACTAATTATATATACCAGCTCATCATGGAAACTTGTGTTAATCAGTCTAAAACGTCAGAACGCGTGTAACATATTGCTTCACAAATGCACATTAGAGAATTCCGCATGTGTGAAACGAAGGCGCTTCTAGGGATATTAATGTAACAAGTTAGTGTGAAATGTTCACCAAAATGACTACTTGTGGCTGAATAACGACGCTTCATAAATCACGAGTGGGTTACAATCGTTTGCTATATCCCGCCTTTCTTACTGCCCATTACCTACATGAATTTTTTTTGCTAAATATCATTTCGGAGCCCAAAGTTATGGTGCGCATCCTTTCGTGTAGCGGCTTCCTCCTGAAAATGAGGAAAAGTTGTATATTTTTATTTCTTACTACGTCCGTCAGAAGTATAACCATTCTGCAACTCTGTATAAATCTGCATTTCCGTTATCCTTCCGACAATTTGTTGAAAGTACTGAATCACAGGTAAATAGCTTGAAAGATTGGAAGGTACGCGACTGATTCTTCAACTTTCTACACCAAAGCAATATGGAATGGAAATTTGTTCATATTTGGAAGCAACAAAGTTCGGTAGCAAATAATATTTTAGTTTGAAAAACTTCACAAGCGCAAATCGCACCTTCTTGTCACACGCAAGCATAAATAAGAGCAGAAATTTTTTATGTGTGGGGATTTTGGACGAAGGTACATTTCATAACATTCGAAACGACCATCGTAAAAAACATTTATTAAAGATTGCTTGTTGTTTTTATTAGCCGTCCAGCATCACGTTTACTTCGTGTTGATTTAGAGTTGTCGTGGAAAATGCCATAATACTATAGAAATACGTGCCCAGCATCCAAAATAGCCTGAATTCATCTCAACACAATACTCCCTTCTTATACAACCGCAATATTAAATAAGGAGCCCAGTCATTCACATCCCGACTTCATTTTTGTATAAAGCTCTATTATATTTTCCATCTACCAGATAATAATTTTCTATTATTGTTCATTAACTCTTTTATTTCCTTTTTTATAGAGTCCAACGCCGCCGCAGTACGTCTTCTGGTACCACAACAACAACATGATTAATTATGACACGAATAGAGGTGGAATTAACGTCGAAACACTTCCGGGTCATCCAACACAAAGTCGATTAACCATAACCGATACGCATGAGGCGGATTCTGGAAATTATACGTGCTCTGCTTCAAATACCGAACCGGCTTTTGTTTACGTTTATGTGTCCGAAGGTAATTAATATTCACACCTCTTAGTTAGATTTTCGTTTTGTTCACACCCCATGATAATGAATGTTATATTCAAAATTTAGAAAAGTTTCTTATGAATTTGGGTGGGTTGGAATTATTCAAATTAAATTATTCTAACAGCGAAATACAATACAACGAACCTATAAGTGAAATATTTAAAAGTACAGAGAAGTGGTTTAAGGCTATAAAATAATAAGTATAAATTCAATTTTTTGAATAATTGCAACTATTTTTGCCGTTTTACAAATCGTTTTCGACAGTTGTGTAGAAGATTTAAAATAAATCAAAACATTTATCAAGGACTATAGGATAAGATCTTTTGATAATTTCATAAATGCCGGAATCAAATGTCATGCAAGTATCTTATCATTATTTCTGTAAAAGTAACCATATTTGGGAGTTAATTATTATTTTATTTAGATTGTTCATACTTTATGTAGTAAGTGAATGTTTCACATATAAGGTTATGAGATTTTTTAGTTATTTATTTAAGATTTAACGTTCATGTTTATGGGTTTGACATGTTTTTAGTCGAAGTTAGCTGTTATGTGAACATGAGCAGTTTAATGACTTAAAATAATTCTAAAAGTAATACATAAATCACTCGAAACGATATTAGCGAAACAGAATTTGACTTCAGAGATGAGGTAGAAGCGCGAGATGTATCGTTCTCGATAAATTTGTCTATACAGACCATTATACAGACATACAGCCCATTTTAGATGCTCATGAAATTGAAATTTTGCTAATATCAACCTACAAAATATAGGTTAAATCAACGTCTTTCGTAATTTGTTGACCATCAAATGACCTCAAACAACATTAATTTTAGATGTCCAGTGTTCGAGTTTGCAGCCTTAAAATTTTACTTGAAAGTAATTTCGCGTCCAAGCCGAAAATTCGAAAGTTATTTCACCTAAACTAAATAACAAAATACGAGTACTATGAGTGACTATGACCAATTACGACGTTGCGTTTTATAAAGTCGCTAGGTACAAGAAATGTGCTGCTGCTCGAAGGATCAAGTGAGATACAGCAGTAAAACCAGTCCATGCTTTAAACAGAAATTTAATCAAAATAAATTAGCCTTGCATGAATAAATTTTGAAAATGATAGTTCACCGAGTAGAAATATACGCTGGATAATAAATAAAGTAGGTACTGGATTAAGACAAAAACTAGCCAACAAATTTATATGAAATTGTACAGCAATAGTTATTAAAAAGTCAGGAAAATGACACGTTACTGACGAGGAAATATTGAAGTACGAGGCCGCTCTGGGACAGAGTACTTTAATTTCCGAGCCAAGTAATGTCATTTTACTAACGAGTTTTGTATTAAATTTTACCCGAAATCCTATTTTAATACAAAACGTTTTGTAACTTTGGACCTACAAAAAAACACCCTGTAAGCTATTTTTTAATGTTACATATTATAAGTAGACGTATTTATTTGACCCTTAATTTACCCAGAATAAAAGATACAGAACCTGGAATCAAAATTTAAGTAATAATTTTGACAATATACTGACGCTTGCAAATGTCAAATTTTTCTTACAAATCGAATTATCTTTAAACTACTAGTTTTTCGGATTATGAACCATATAATAAAAAAGTCGTACAATTACACGTAGAATTAAAAAATGCATTCACATACAGAGGATTCAATTTAAAAAAATGTACAATTTTGGCGTCCTACTTTGTGAGCGCACTCTGTATAATTCCAAATATTTTTTCAATGTGGATAATATTCAACCATATAATACAAAAGCACTCTGTCGAAAAAGTGTATCTTCAAGGCATTAAGTTACTCGGCACAATCGTTGACTCACCCTGTACTATGTGATCAAAAATGAGTAGCTGTCGAGTCATGGGAAATCGTACTTAACTAACTTCCAAAGGCGGCAGCAACAGCGGCAACTGGGAGTGATGAAGGAAGCATTAAAGAACAGTGAGGGAAGAGTTGAAGGAGAGGTAAAGAAGGCGAAAATGCCGCGAGATGGTGACGTAAGTGGACGCAAAATAGACGTGCAGTACGTGACGGTGGCGTGGAGAAGGCGCGGAGGAGGAATGAAGAAGACGTAGGGGAAATGTGAAACGGATGGAAAAGAGGAGGTGAAGGAATTATAAAAATGACTGACGGAGCATTTAGACGCGGCGGAGACGGCAAGAGGTGTTAAAGAAAACGTGAAGAAGATGTCGGTATGGCAAAAGGGTAAAGGGGGCATAAAGTAATAATAGTAAGATAATATAATATGAACTTTCTGTCTGTCTGTTTCTAAATTCTTTAAATCGGGTGCGTTTTCTTTTCCCCTGTAAACTGTTCTACTTTTTCCACCACAACCCTTAAACCTGCCATAAACCCCGTACATGCGGGAACCCCTCTTTAATTCTTCTATTTCTCTGTCGCACTTCTGAAATCTTTCCACGCACCCTTGCTTTAATTGATCTGTATCATGCGCATTTTAGCGCATTTTTTAAGATTTAAAAAAGGGGCATTGCTTGCGTTTTGTCCGTCTGTCCAGTGTCCGGACCCACTTCTGCAGTTTTTCACTTTTAGGGGACGATCCTAGAGTCCTGGATATTGTGCAATAGGTAAGCGATACCTTGAAACTGTGCCAGAAGGAACTGTTTTCTACTAACTACTGCCCTTCCATCTTACCCCCTATCAATATAGGGGGTGCGGGGACGGAGAACTGGTTTTATCCTTCCTGATGCTCTAATGAAAGCTCTCAACGAAAGAAATCAATTTATACTAACCATAGTCCTCCTTGACCCTTTATAGTGATCGTGATCGGTTATAATTCCTTATATTTCAAGAGGGGACAGTTTGAGGAAGATATCGCAAAGGGGTATTGTGACGTCTGGAAGAAGTACATTCATCGATGATGGCAAAACTTTAGGAACGAATATCTCAAAAACAGTTATTTGAAGGGGAGTATATCTATTGGTGCATTCCAAACTTTCAGTGTAAATGTCTGCAGAAAGGAGTGTCAGATGACACACTCTCTCCAGTTTACACTCTCCTCTGCGGCTTTTTTTTGTTGAAGTCAGACGCTATTTTGTTAATTGTTGCCTCTGATTATGATCTTCAATGCACTTCATTCCAAAAAGTCATGTACCCTCAATTTTATAACGACGAATATGTCTCTTTTTAAAGAAGTCGTACTTATCTTATCACGTAAATAAAATGTTATCAATTTCTTTCTGTTCGAAACTCGTTTACATTAACTACAGACTACAGATGCTCCTTTTACATGAAAATCATTTCTAAAGACATTCTATGCAAAAAGAAAAACACCTGAACGTTGATCATTTTACAATGTCTTATCAATTTAAATAGAAGCAATAATTTTGTGTTTTTATCTAGTAATGGCCTACTTCAAATTAAATACAAGAACGTACCATCCACAATGGCATCAGTCTTTATCATAAATTCGTAAATTAAAATTTTGCGTGGTGTCACAGCAATATTTTATCACTCAGTTTCATGTCGTCAAAATTCGCTAAGAATTCGTTCGGTGTATTTTCCAGTGTGTACGGCTTTCTGCAGTATTCGCAATGGCTCTATACAGCGTATACATACGTGAAAATAAACGAGTGCTTGAGAAAGCAGTCGTTCAGAGGTATATAGGCAGAAGTATTAAGGTCGAACGAATTTGGGAGAATTCGGACCGAATTTCGTGTCACCCTATTAAATCTGTACGTATGCTCACAAACCTCGTACGAAGGCCATAAACGGTAACTGTACTCCACATATTGGGATGACAAAGAGAATCAATTAATCTATTAATATGTCAGTTTATTATTTGTGAATATTTAGGTGGCGCTGGGAAATGACTTGTCGTAGCTCGCTATGTGCCTCTAAAACTGACTTTGTTGCAGGTGACAACGTCGACGCAATTCTAATGCGAAAATCGTGTGCAATGTGCGTTGCGAGCCAACTAATACTTCTACTGATACCAAGCATTGCTGCAGCCATGCGATAGAATAATCAACTTCCGATAGCTCAAAGTGCATCTTCGTTAATGAAAATATTGACTGCGTAAAAGAAACCAAAACCAAGAAACAATGTATAAATGTGAACTAAAACAAACTTTTCAATTCGTTTATAGTGTGTATGTGTTAAAAAATCACAAAATATGTTTTTAAGGAAAAATTCAAAAAATTTCGCAGGGTATTGCAGCAGGCATATATTGTATATAACCAAAAAAAAACTCTATTTTAAATTTGAGTAATAGAATTGTTAATTTTTCGTAAAAATTTTAAACTAATTGGAACTTGGTGGAATTATGCCCGATGGATTGTTCGTCTCGTGTAAGAAATATATTCAAATTCATAATTGCACTACATTATCAATATGTATATTTTTCTTCTCACTGTTACCTTGTATAATTCCTATGTTGTGTTATAGAAGTATGAAGAACGAGATTAGATACGAATACGATTTTTTGTAACGTTCGTAGAACGTATTGTAAGCGCGAACTGCCAAACAGTTTAGTTTACTTTGCCCTAAGTCTTGTTTGTATTGCCAATCATCTTTGAGCATGTTTTTAATGTAAAAAACACATCTAATGTAAATATTAACAAATTTATCTATATTAAACTAAGGGAATGAATGGATAGACTGATGAAAGGTATCTATGTGACTAAAAAATGTGTAAAAGACTATGCGTACTAAACCTATATTGTATTACCTAATGAATCAAAACTGCGAATGATGAGTGCTAAATAAATTTACAACTATATGTTTAGAAATCACATTGATAGATTACTTTGTTATGTTTTTTCTTTGTTTTGTTTCGAACTGTTAATGATTGTACTTATATGCGTACATAAATAGAGTAAGAATGTTTTAAAAATAGTTTTTAAAGAAATTGTATTTGTTATTCCCTAATTTTCCATTTCAACTGTAAGTCACAAAGTAAGGATTCACATTAAATGCTAATTAAATCAACATTAAGTTATCTAACCTTCACTTAGATTTCGTCATATGAGCTTAGATCGTGCTAATTGAGACTGGAAAATGATTAAGGACTTCTCTTGTCTTCTAAATTCAGGGTAAAACGGGTGTGTCTGTAAATATCCGATGAAAGACGATTTGGGGCACATGTCATAGTTTAAATATAAGTACATAGTTACGTCAATTAATTAACTGCCTAAATATGCCAATAAAAGCAAATGCTTAATAATAAAAGATAATGAGGACTATAAAATCTAATCGCAAGTACCTTTAACTGCTATTGGAGTGGAATGGCTGGTACGTTCACTTCAAAAGCTAATATCTCAAAATCGGTGAGGCCGGTTTTAATGGATTTTTTTTAGCATAAGGACATTAAGGGTATCGATTTTATTTTACAGTACGATAAATCGCGTGACAGTCGACGAAAGTTCGTATGTATCGTGCAACAACATAATAATGACACAAAAAGCCTCCTCCGTTAGGTACTGGAAATCGTTTTGAAAAACTTTAACTTCCCAGAAGGAAAAAAGAATAGTGTAGATACAATTCTGCTTAATCAACTAACAAAACGCACTGCACAGTGCTTGGGAAAGTAGTTAAAAGTTCAGTGAAGAACAAACAAATGCTACTGGTACAGTAACATGACCAAAGTCAAAAAGTGGTCGTCGTAAGACAAATGCCGATGATTTTATAAAGGACGTTGGAAAGTGCTATACTTCATTTCACGGTTTTTACCATGCGTTTCCATGGCGTTTAGTCCTATCTATAAACAACAGCATCAATTTTTGAGTGACAGTAAATCGCAATGTCAGTAATATTCAATTGGGAGTTATTAAGGAGCGCCCGAGTTAATCAAGCAAATTCATGAAAAAAGACACTTTCAACACGTGGTATACACGAATTTTTTTTGCATAGTGATGCTTAATTTTCCATAATTGAATAATATCATTGACATTCGCGATTACTGTCACTCAAAAATTGATGCTATTGTTTGTAACAATTGGAAATTGAGTATAAGAGTAGTTTAGGATAGCGATAGGTATAGTAACATTTTAGGATAGGATGGAATAACTGCATTGAAAGTTGCATATATGTAGGGTAGTACATTTCTAGTTTTAAACATTTAATTTCATCTTAATGTCATTTTTCTATAATCCACATTTTTTGGAGATAAATTTTGAAACATAACGTATTTCTGGAATCCATTGAGAGATTGGCTTTCAGCGTGACTAGTCAGAATTAAAAATTGTTAGAGTTTGAGTGATTTATCGGGGGTAGTAAATACACGAGCTTGATTTTTAATCGGATAATTTTATTTTTACACGAAGGTTTTGTTGCAACGGAAAAAACTAGAGATCAAAAGTTTAGCTGGAGCGATTTTATCTTATTCTTTTGATCCTGATTTAAAACCAAGATTGAGTGTATTTTAGGGAAATTAATACAAGACTAAATTTCACAACCACTGTATATTTTACGCATTGCTACAGCACGTATTTTTATCGATGGTAAAAAGCTACCTAGCTTTTAATCAGATAAAAAATCATCTGATTGGTTTCAATTTGAAACAATCACTAAGCTGATTGGTTGAATATTAATGGAATGGAGGTAATCAGATTATTCAATGACATTTGTCAAACTTCCACCAGTGAAATGTCGCGAAATTTTTTCGTATTAACGGGAACATTCTTCTTAGTTTGTTAATCAATTTCGACAACTGACTTATCACCACATCTTTTAATTTGATCACTCATAACGAATTAGTTTGGAGCACAAAAGTTCGAATAGAATCAATAGCAAAATGAAAAGCAACTTTCGTAATTTATTTTGACGTTTATTGTTGTCATGGAACTAATGTCATGGCTTCGGGATTATCACGTATATAAATATAAATTCGTGTGGATAATTACGCTTAGCCCCAGTTGCACCAACAAAATTAAGCTTTGCTTAAAGTTAAGTCGAACTTAAAATCTATGGCAACGATTATTAAGACAATCGTTGCTATGGTATTTAAGTTATGCTTAACATTAAGGGATACTTAATTTTAGCGGTGCAATTGGCCCTTAAAGTTTCTTTTGATTCATTAAATAGTCTTTTTTGAGGTGCTGTTCCACTCATGCTAGTAACTAGCATTCGTGGCAGCACCTCAAAAATTATCCACAATACTTCGACTACTCATGGTATTTATTGATAAAGCTATAACACCTTAGTTAACCTCCGTAAGATTTACCTTTTACTGTAAACAACCAGCAGAAGAGTATTTCAGCTTTTTTTAAGACACCTGTCACCTACCCAAGTCTCCCCTTGGATCAGTGACGCGGCACTGAGAACCACCAGGTTTGTTAATCACACAATTATCTATATCTTACGCTTACGATTTCTTGTGGCGTTTCCTGTCCAATCCGAGGTCCAATCTAAAAATAAGGTCGGAGGTTAACTTTTTGGAATTAATTAATATACTTATATCATTTACTTACTTCATTATTTTTATGGCGCTGAGTTGATCCCTCTTCAAGGTCTATCTAAGTTGACGTTGAGAGCTTTAAAGTTTGCAGGTTTTGTTTCATAATTAAATTCAAGGTATAGGCTACCTACTGCAAACAAATCCAGGACTCTAGGACCATTCCCTTAGAAGTAGTTTAAAACTGTAGAAGTGGGTCCGGACGGACGGACGGACGGACAAAACGCAAAAAATAGCACATTTTTTTAAATTGTTTTAGTTGCCCTTTACAACTAGTACACGTAAATATGCACGTTCGCATAGAAACGATCGCTTTTCAAAAATCGAGTTCCTGGCCTTTGCTCTGGTCGAATTGTTACTATAACCCACAGATAAAACACCCAATTTATCTATGCTATATAAGAGATTACTTTGTGACGGAGGTAAACAGCGTCATCTGCGACTATAGTGCTTTCACAACCCGTTACCTATAGTAGAAACGAGTAGATTACTGGTTTAGTAAATTTTATTGATGTGTGGACATAAATCAGTGACTTTTTAGTTATCCGTTAAGGGAAGTTGACAGAAGTCTCGTCATGAACAATCCTGAATTATACGATACCGCTGGGAAGGTCTTAGACGCTCAAACGGAATCTATTGTTAAAAATTACATACTTCAGTTGCTTAGAAATGGAGATCAAAAGGTTGTCTTAGATGTAGGCTCTGGGCCAGGTTGCTTCAGTTTCAATTACCTTTACAAACCGCTAAGTGCCGAAATAAAAGAAATGATTGGTATAGATCAGTCTGAGAATATGGTGACCTACGCCAATAAACACTATGGAAATGATAAACTCAAGTTTGTGAAATTGAACATTGAAACCGATTGTATACCCGAACAACTTTTGGGACGATTTGATTATGTATTCTCGTTTTGGGCACTGCATTTTCTTCACGATTACACGTAAGTAAACGACGTTTCATAAGGGTCCCTTACCAATATGAAATTCCAGACGTGGGTTTAATAATATATTTAAAATGATGAAACCAGGTGGATACGCGTTGATGGTCTTTCCGGGGAGTGGTCAGCTGTATGATATCTACAAAACGGTATGGACAAAGCCCAAGTGGAGCAAGTTGATTGGCGAAGATAAGCTGATGAATATGCCATTTCATAATTGCGAAAACCCAGAAAATAAATTGCGTGATATTTCGAGTCCCCTTGGCTTCGAATCACTACGTTGCGAAATACAGGATCTAAGCATTTACCTTACCTTGGAAACGGCTAAAGGTGCTGGTCGGCATTTTTAGTTTCATTTTTTTCACTTTATATACTCTTACAGATTATTTCGCTTCGATTATTCCGGTGTTTAGTGACGTTCCAAAACACTTGCAAGAAGAGTTAATTAACGACCACATAAAAGAGTGGGCACCACGTGACATTTCTTTAAATGAAGATGTGATGTATGGTCTCGATTATAAGCTCATGGTAATAAATGCTAGGAAATAGCAAATTCCGATGCATCACCTGTTGGTTAGATGTTTACAACTAGGAAATAGGGTTAGATGTTTGGGAACAGAGCTGGGCAGTATTCGATTTTGTAAATACTTTTTAGTATTCAAATCCTTTAAAGTATTCAAATACTTTGTAATTAAATACTTTTATGGAAGCAGTATTTGTATTTGTAACTCAAATACTTTCACAAATATTTAATAATAATAATAATAATAATAATAAATTGTCTTTTATTGGATAGTGGATAAAATATATAAAACATAATAGAAGAAAAAGAAAAGATATAATTTTGACACAATCCAATGGGGCGCAGTTCAGATGGGGTACATGACCACACATCCGCTCTTCCATTTAGTATTCGAATACTTCGCAAAGTATTTGGCTACTTCGTAAAGTATTCGAATACTTCGCAAGGTATTTGAATACTTTGAGTATTCAAATACTTCGCATAGTATTTGAATACTTAACCTTCCTTTTTTACCAAAAATCGACTACACCAAAATTTCTCGGGAAACCACTTTTTCTTATTAATTTTGGTACGTAGAATCCAAAACAATTCTTACTTTTTCGATTAGACCTCTCAATAAAAAGTTATGGACAAAAAACAAATTTCAAAAAAAAATTCAAACTTTTGATCTAGTAGCCCAATCTTCAAACTGTTTGAAATTATGGATTCTATGGGCCAAATTCTATAAGAAAATGTTTTTTGCCGGTCGATCTCAGACAATTTTTTTTCCGGCCTCAAAAAAAGGCAGTACTTTCAATAGTCCAATCAAGATGTACATCCGTGCTTGCAAAAGGTCCGGTCGTTCTGAATTTGTTATATGTTGTTAGTACCTAAACCAACAATAAAAAACCAGATTTGCAATTTCCAAAATGCTGTGCGATCGGCGGTATATCCAAAAAACCTTGAAATTTTCGGACTTTTTTCAGTTTTTACTCAATATCTCAGTGAAGGAATGGTCTGATCGGTATAGTCATTCTATAATCTTTTAAGGTAGACTAAATTTGCTACAATTTGAGACTCTAGCGAGGTCTATACAGCCATTGGCTCCCAAGATACAGTTCTTCGAAAATAGAAAGTTTTTTAAAAAATAATTTTTTTTCAAGATCAAGAGCGCATTTCCCAACGAAGTTGGGTGCGCTAATGCAGCCACTTTCTCGGTCCGTCCGTCTGTCCGAGGCCTTAACTACTCCTACAGTTTTCAAGATATTAAGTTCGTTGTTTTTGCATTCGGTAACGTATAGCGTCTAGCACCTGAGCCAAGGAAAATCTTGAGAATTAAACTGCGCAATGTCAACTTACTTATTTATTAATATATTTTGTTAAAATTTTAACCACAGATACTTCTGGTGAAGGCAAATGTATCGCATATCGTAAAAATCAGTTGTGCGTGTGCGCAGACTGCGCAACGGCAACTTTCTTATTTATGGGGATATTTCTTTGAAATTTTAACCAAAGTTGCTTTTAGTGTAAGCAAACGTATCAAATTAATGCGCGCATGCGCACTGTTATTTATCGAGATATCTTTTTGAAATTTTAATCACAGATGCTTCTGGTTTAAAGCAAACGTAACTGATATTGCATAAATTAAATGTGCTCATGCGCGAACTGCGCAACGCCAACTTTTTTTTGTTACGGAACCCTTCTTTTATGTGAAAGGGAAACAAAAATATAGATTTGTTCGCGGAGACATATTTCTTAATTATTGCAACAACATAATTTCATATAATATTGACGTGGGATTCGTATTTTAGAAGATATTGTACACAAAAATTGGCCATTTTGAAAAAATCATTTGTTAAAAAATCCTATTTTCGAAGAACTGTATCTTGGGAACCAATCGCTGTATAGACCCCGCGCTAGTCTCAAATTGTAGAAAATTTAGTCTATTTTAAAAGATTACAGAGTGAATATATCGATCAGGCCCTTCCTTCACCGAGATATTGAGTAAAAACTGAAAAAGGTCCGAAAATTTTATGATTTTTTGGATATACCGCCGATCACACAGCACTTTGGAAATTGCAAATCTGGTTTTTTATTGTTGGTTTAGGTCCTAACAACATATAAAAAATTCAGAACGACCGGACCTGTTGCAAGCACGACCCCCCTTTTCATGTTTAAATTTAGAGGACTATAAGTTATTCAAATATTTGAGAACAATTTAGACATGTTTAGGGAAAGTTTCCATTGTCACAAAATCAAATATAAAAATCCGACACAAATGAATACCGAACGATCCTGGAGTGTGCTACGGGGGTTCCTTCTGGACTTGAAAATTACCATCGGTTCCGCCCGGCAAAGCAAACCATCTTCTTCTCAGGCTGCTCAATCGATAAAAATAAATGCTCCGGCTAACTCAAATCGGTGGGCTTTTAACTCTTGTGAAACTGCGTAACAAACCTTAACCTGCCGCCTACCAGTCTCCTGGCGCAACTCCTACTCCTCTCTTTCCTTCCCCTCGTTCTTCGTTAAAGACATAGGCACATTGAAACCAAATAGATAATATATTTAAATGATATTAGAGATACAAACAAATTACAGGGATCTAGCAGTTCTTCTCTCCTCCTTGTAAAAAAAAATAGCTTAACAATGACAACTAAACTAAATAAAAAATCCTACCAGGTGAGACTAATTTACTCAAGGGGTGGCCATCCTCTACAGTTTGAAAATTTCAACAACAGGTAATCGTTTTTTACTCCAGCGTGGGCTGGGACTTATTTAAATAAACACAAAAATTTATTCTACTCTTTGGTAATCGTTCATTGGACTTTAATAAACAATCAAATCAAAATTTTTTCTATAGCTTCATTACCAAAAAGTGGGATTTTACAGAATGTTACAAATTTAATTAGACTAACCTTTACAATATTTGTACAGCCGATCTTGTGAACTGCTCTTTCCTCTGGTACAGGGTGGATGTGATGAAACCTGACACTTAGGTCTCTGTGACTTTCTAGGGGGTGGCTTGAAGTTAACACACGGAAACAAAATCCACGGTGCCTATCCTTCCTCGGAACGAAAGCAAAGTTTAGTGTTTGAACGGAAGCTTAGTCCAGGAAATCCTTCGCGTGGCGAGTGGGAGACGGCTACTTGCCAAAGTTTCTACACAGCAGGTGTATTTAATTTAAACAGTGACCCCTACTATTTCCTTCCACCGGCTCTTAGAGTTTATTGACTTTGATTCGCCTGCGGGAGACGGATTTTTGAGTTAGCGGCACGGCAGAACACAAATTTTTATGATCACTATCCGACGGTAAACCGCGATTTGTTCTTGGGTGGTTCGACTTATTATTTCACCAGCTCTTCTTGGGGCAAATATCTCTCCAAAACGCAGCGCTCCTTCGACAAATGACCGTACGGCACTAGTAGGAAATTCCACCTGGGGCGGATCCCGAATATCGGCGCCTTGAGGACTAGGGCAGCACTTTGAATTATATATCCTCGAGAAATCACAACGTATCCTAACGCGATTCACTGCATCCAAAGTAAACTGGGGTGAAGCTCAAGGGTTCGCCTAAATATCACCTGATCGGAACCTGGGTCTTCGTCGCCAAAAAATCAACGCGAAAAGAAAATAACACTTCGAAACGGGTGCAAAAAGCACGCAACTGCGAGCAACCGAAATAAACCGGTGGCTCAAACCGCTAGGTACCCCCAAAAAACGATCACTCAAGGTACGTGTTGACCCCTTGACGTACTAAACCGCGAGTCTCCCCAAAACGATCACTCAAGGTACGTGTTGACCCCTTGACGTACTAAACGCGAGTCTCCCCAAAACGATCGCTCAAGGTACGTGTTGACCCCTTGACGTACTAACCGCGAGTCTCCCTCAAAACGATCGCTCAAGGTACGTGTTGACCCCTTGACGTACTAAACGCGAGTCTCCCCAAAACGATCACTCAAGGTACGTGTTGACCCCTTGACGTACTAAACGCGAGTCTCCCCAAAACGATCGCTCAAGGTACGTGTTGACCCCTCGACGTACTAACTGCGAGTCTTCTCAAAACGATCGCTCAAGGTACATGTTGACCCCTCGACGTACTAACCGTGAGTCTCTCCAAAACGGTCCCCTTCTTCAGAATTGAAATGAGAAAACCACACCCAAATTACCATAAAACAAAAATGGCTCCCGCTAGAAATTCTCCCATTGGTTTAGATAAAGAAGACTTAACCCACTCTAACTTCGTCGTCACCCTCCAGGAACTGCTGAATAAGCTGATCTCACGGTTTTCTGCTGACGAAATGAAGACCCCTTATCCCTTGATGGCTCGGTGCTATATCCGCTCCTATTCTCGGTCTAGACGGCGCCTTGGGTGATAAACGAACGACAAAATTCGCATTACTCATGATGACGTCAATCAACTTTGCAATCTTCCCACGACGAAATTAAATCTGAGCGAAATTAAATCTATCGGACCATAGTCTTGAGCGAACCGAAATGCCCAAACACAAAATTTCTAACCGGAACAAATAATGAAATATACAGGGTGACCTGCACTATCATGACAAGAAATTTCGAAATTTTTAATGAATCTTGGCGCGAAATAAAACCACTCGTTACAAGTGAAACTTTTTGATCTACGTAACTTAAAAACAATATGGATCTTTCTTATATCCTTAAGACCATGTGTACCAATTTTCAAAGCGATCGCACTTTTCTAAACACACTATCATGCACACGGACAAACGGATGGTCAAAAATGGATCTGTTCCAAAATCGCTAGGATTAATTTCAGAAAGGCGTACGTATCATATGCACGACGCTTTGAAAACTGGACGTAAAAGTATTTAGTATTCAAACACCTTTGATTTGTGTAAAGTATTTACTATTTAGTACTTATTCAAATACTTTTTGAAAAGTATTCTGCCCAGCTCTGTTTGGGAAGGTGTTCTTACAAACAGTATCCTCATTCAGGATTGATGAACATTACTCCATCAATCCCTCATTGCTTCAAGAAATGTTCGAGCTACCCAGGAGCTTTTAGAAACAAGTATTGCAGGGTACAACATCAACGGCTTCTTTCTTTTATCTAGGCAGCGGTAATATTGTTCACGTTTTTTTAGCGTAGCACAACAAAGTTGGGGTAACGTTTATGTGCTCGATTTTCCGTCGTCTGTCTGCCTGTCTGTTTCATAGAGATCTCGGCCTCTGAGCCACCTGGAGACTTCGGATTTTCGCCAATTGGTAGCTTATATTTCTACATTTCTACCTCCACCCCCCTGTCAGCCACTGATCCCGAAAAAGAGTCGCGCGGGAAAGTTATAGTTTGTACAAACCAATTCATTTCGATGGAGCCTTTCATTAGAGTAGCATAAAGGGTAGGACGTGTGTCTACTCCCCGCTCCCCCCCCTCCATTTTCAAAGGTTTTACTTGGCACCGCTAAAGGCATGCGTATGCAAAATCTGAGATCACGTTGATGGCTACCTATTGCAAACCATTCAAGTGGGTCCGGACGAACAGACGGAGGGACGGACAAACCTCAAGCAAAAGCACATTTTTTTATTCTAAAAATAAGTTATGTTTGAGCTAATTTAACATGTTGCCAAGTGTCTCGTTTGAAACTTTATACGATGATCGCGAAAGCATTTGCGAGCGGTTCAAGCTATTGGTCGAGAAAGCAGTTGCCTTTCGCAACTACTATCTACACCCTACACATAACTTTCGCATGGAAACTATCAGTTTTAAAAAAATGCTCCCCTGACCTTTGCTCTGATCGAATAGTTACTAGATTAATATATGTGGAGGAGGTAACCAGCGTCGACATCTGTGAATATGTTGTTTTCACAACAACCGATTAGTATTAATTAGTAGATTACTAGTTCATCAGCAATTGATGTGTGGACATAAAGCGACAGCATTTTAGAGCACAATCTCCATTACTTAAGCGAAGTTACTACGAGTAAAATTCTTCAGCACCCAAGAGCCTCGTCATGAACAATCCTGAATTATACGATACAACTGGAAAGGTTTTAGACGCTCAAATGGAATCTATTCTTAAAAGTTACATACGCCAATTGCCTAGGAATGGAGATCAAAAGGTTGTCTTAGACGTAGGCTGTGGGCCAGGTCGCTTGTCTTTCAATTACCTTTACAAACCGCTAAGTGCCGAAATTAAAGAAATGATTGGAGTCGATCAGTCTGAGGATATGGTAACGTACGCTAATAGACACTACGGAAACGATAACCTCAAGTTTGTGAAATTGAACATTGAAACCGATTGTATACCCGAACATTATTTGGGGCGATTTGATTATGTATTTTCTGTTGGGGCTCTGCATTTTCTTCGCGATTACACGTAAGTAAACATCTTATAAGCGTGTCTTACCTTTATGACATTCCAGATGTGGGTTTACTAACATATCTAACATGATGAAACCAGGTGGATATGCTTTGCTGGTCTTTCCAGAGAGCGGTCAGATGTACGACATTTACAAAACAGTATGGACAAAGCCCACGTGGAGCAAGTTTATCCGCGAAGAGAAACTAATGAATATGCCATTTAATAATTGCAAGAACCCAGAAAATAAATTGCGTGATATTTCGAGAACAGCTGGATTCGAATCACTACGTCGTGAAATACGCGATGTAAGCATTTGCTTTACCCGGGAAAGGGCTAAAGGTGCTGGTAACCATTTTTAATTTCACTTATTTCACTTTATATACTCTTACAGATTATTTCGCTTCGTGTATTCCGGTGCTTAGAGACGTTCCAAAACGCTTGCAAGAACAGTTCATTAACGACCACATAAAAGAGTGTACACCACGTGAGAATTTATTAAATAACAATATGGTGTATCGTCTCGATTATAAGTTCATGGTAATAAATGCTAAGAAATAGTAAAGCAAGTTAATTAAAGTTGTGTGAGAAGTTTAAAGCGGTTCGTCCGTTTTATGGAAAAAGTTTGTTAAGCCTCGTTTGAGGCCAAAGGGACTTAAACGCATTTTTGTGTGTTTAGCAGATCAGTATTCTATTAGCCAGTTTTGATTACAATATCAATAAGATCTTGTCGAAGGCTACCCCATTTCCTTTGTCGGTACACACTTCCGACATCCCGTTCACTCGCAATCCGCGTTTGAAGTTTTGACTCCACGATCAGTAAGATCTTGTCGGGAGCTACCACATTCCTTTTGTCGGTACCCAGTTCCGACGTCCCGTTCACCCACAATTCGCATTTTGGTGGATTTCGATAAAAACCCGCTACAAAATAGTACTCAATTTACTGCTCGTAGCCGAGTTTCTATTGGTGGCACGAGAAAGAGAGACCGCGATTGGAGCTCGAAGAAACTTTTGGGCGCCCCAAGTCGACTACTCCTCGAAGACTTCTTATTTTCACTATCGATTGCCTGCATGCGTGGTATTTGGTCCAACCAAGCTTTGTAAGCTTGTCTTTGTTTCAGGAATATTGTTTTAATATGCGTTCCATGTTCCATGTGTTGCCGAATAAATTTTCATCTTTGTCCATCAATTAGTTGTGTGTTTATTCAAACCCATTGTGCGACACGGATAGTGTTCAGATTCAGATTTACCTTTTCCGATCCAAGGTTTATTTCAGGTGTTGATCAAAATCCCCCAAATCATCAATTAAGGTCAATATTGGGATTTTTTGCAGCAGATGCCGGAAGTGTACGCGCGCGCAGAAATTAAAAAAATTCAAAGTTTCAATTTTGATTTGTTTAAGCCCTGGTTTAAGCTAACTGGACAGGTGTTTTGTGGATGGTGTAGTTGACCGCATTTCACTCAGCATTATTTATCTGGTGCCCAATATGGGGCCACAGCAATTTCAAAACTGTGATAACCCCCCCCCCCCCAGTGGTGTCATCCGGGGTATACGAGAGTATACGGCGTATACCTTGCCCTTTTTTTCCTAGAAGCGTATACCATGACCTTTTGTTAAAAATACGGAGGTATACATATACGCGGTATATACGCAGCAATCCACAGTTTGAACTGGGAAGCCCTCACATGACACACAGTCCAGGAAGACAGCGCAAGAGGACTACAGCACAAATGAGCGGATGTATTATAAATAAATAAATAAAATGTGTTATATACCTAACTTGAAACTTCCAATTCATATTTCAATTTGTAAGGTATAATTAAAATTAATGTATAATTAAATTTTCTTTTCTTTTTTCAACAATTAGGAAACTACTTCCATTACAAGAAAGGCCGATTTTCTACCTATGAACAGTGGGTGTTCATTGTTCATTTACAATTTTTTATTTTTTTATCCGAAACGTACTATTATACAATGCGGCGGTTGTAGAAGTGAACTTGTGCGGGATGTTACGACTGTCGCTGCGAATGCTTTCAATATATGGATGTTGCAATTGAGACCATAAAAAGTGATATTGTTTCGGTAAACAGTTTGCCTAAATGTGCCCTTTATATTTGTTTTATCCTAATTCCCTAAAAGCAGAGCGACCAGCGTATACTTTGCCATTTTTTTAGGATGACACCCCCCCCCCCCCCCCCCCCGGACCACTTCATATCACTCATTTTCACTTTTACACACACAGAGATGGACTCTCAACTCTTATAGTTGTATATAACAATGTTACAGAGAGTATGTGCTGATGCAACTAGCCGGTAGGTAAGTCTGTCACACTGGGCGATAGGTTGCTAGCTGATAGTTGGTCACGTGACACACTCGCCCGAGTTAATAGCTCGGAAAATTGAACATGTTTGATACTTGATGGAAATGAATTTTTACTAGCGCGCTGCTGTTAGTCGCTGCACAGATTAACTATCTGTGGTAGCTGCTATTCCCTATGTCACATGATCACAGCGTAGTATTTTGGACAGTCTTAGGGACGATCTATGTCGAGTACGTAATATTCCAAGATCTTTAAATTCATTGTTCCTTAATAAAACGTTACCTTATATCAGAGCTAGAAAGTAATCGATTACAATTGATACAGTATTTAATGACTTTCTGTGTAATCAGTAATCAGTAACTAAATACTTTGAAAGTACTGTAATCAGTATTGTAATTTATGTCTTACTAACCTATCATAGCACATTTTATATCTGTGATACGCGGGCATAAAGTACCACTTTATGCCCTAGGGCATTAAGTATCACCATAGTAACTCATTTATACTTAATGACGAAACAAACAAATATTTGCAGGTCATTGAAAATTAGAAACGTCAATTATTAATTGTCAATACCTACTAAATCACAAGATTGGCCTTATTTCGAACAGTTTCTGGAACTTCCTCCTCATTCACAATGAATTGAATTATTTAAAATTACGTTTGACGTTTGGATGGTTTCAATCACATTAACAAATTCGAACCACGCATACTCGATTAAACATAATGAATTATTTTGTAAATGAATTTTGACGAAGAAAACTACTTGTAAAACATAAAATTGTGTATGTACCACGGGCATAAACTAATGTTTATACTCTCGGGCGACTTTTTAACTCGTCGCCCTCGAGAATATAAACATCACTATTATGCCCTTAATACATAAATAACTATTAATTACTTTTCTCAGTAGTTAGCAGCACTTTTATCCATCAAACTGTCAAAATGAAATGTCACATAAGTTTTTTAGACGTTTATTCTTTACCAAAAAAATTACTCGTGTAATGATCGTGAGATCTTAATGTACAATTCTTATCTGAAAGAGAAGCTTGCAAAGGTAGGTAACGCTTCGCAAGAAACATCACAATAATTATTGCTCGATGTTATTCGGATGTCAATGGCAAATTAGAGTCAATGACATACTTGCGAAAATTTAGCATTATATGAAAATTGAAAATCCTGTTGAAGTTTCCACTTCATTTACGATACTTTCCTCGATACCGTCACTTTTCTTTACCTACTTGTAAAACAATCTACTATTTCCGCACCCATATATGGGTAGGTATTGTTTTTATCACAGAAAAAAGTCCGTTGTCGTTGTTTAACGGTTTATATACTTCTTCTTATACAAGCAAATCCATGTCAATAATTGCTACATCGACTAGGTACTTCGCTTAATAAAAGACAAAGCAGTGCATTAAGAAGTAAATAAAATCGTGCTGGGTCTCAACAGATTCTACCGTGCAGAAAGGTTACATTTTGAAGAAACACATTTTTTTCGAGAGGAAATCATTATACCCACAGCATTTCTTAAAGCTTCCGAGGCTATACGAATTAAATAAAACGTTCGTTACATTGCCAATGTTCAAAATCGTACTAATCGTCTGGAAATAATAAAACTGTTATGTTAGCATATATCGAAAGAACAACGGATCACAAGGTTCGATCCACGCCATTATTTGCTGCATAAGTATCGTAATGGACACCTTTATGTTCATTAACTGATTTCAATCAGCACTTGGCGCGACACCACTGTCTTCTTTTCTACTTGCCGAAACTGGTAACTTCATACACATTTCCAAGCGAAAACTTTAGATAAAGGACTTAGAATAGCAATCCGTCTATAATTTGGTACTTCAGATATGCTGCCTGACCGAATATGGGAACAATTCTGACATACCAGTTTTGAGAATAAGCTTATAGATTTGAGTAAGTGGTCTCTTCAGCTCTATTCACGAAATTGGATTTAGCTTGATTCAAATTTGAAGTTTCGTCCTAATGTTATTAAACTCTAGTTAATAGGATTGATAATATCAAACAGGATACCTAGTTTTCCAAGACTATTGGCCAAACAAATTGTACCTATAAGCAGTATACAAAAATTCGCAAAAACTTCTTGATTTCGTCACTCTAATCCATTTGGAAAAGTGCTTCGTAGAGGAGCGGAAAGTTTGCATATCGAAAATTTTACTTCGTGTTAGGTAGTTGCATGTCTAGAAAATGGGCAAACGGACGGAAAATGAGGACGTTGGCGATAAAAACGATATCTCAAAATGCGTAACTGGGTTTTTGAATGTTTACTTCTATAGCACTCACATGCCGTCCTGTACATCATGTGGTGCTCAACAGTTAGGTATATCTTAATAATAATAATAATAATAATAATATATATTTGGTCTAGTTGATTACAAGATTTGGATATAAGGGAAGTCGTATAAAACAAACATATGTAACATAACACATTAAAAACAATTTAAAAAGCAACACATTTACCTACATTAATGTTTAAAATTTAAATAATCTTGGACGGAATAAAAAGCGTTTTTTAAAAGTATTTTTTTAACCTCGCACACAAATTTGCTAGTAGTTAGGGTTTTTACATATTCTGGTAGCTTGTTATATACTAACGGCCCTACATAATAAGGATTTGAGTCTGTGTTTCTTTACATTCTAAACTCTAAACTCTAAAGCATAAGCAATTACAATCTATGTCGTAATACTATAATCAACGAAATGTTTGACTTAATACTAAACAGTCCCTAATCTGCAAATTGGGACATTTTGACGCGGAAAGTAACAGTGATACTGATATTATTTGTTGACTATTTTTTAGCGTAAATTACAAACAGCCTATAATCAATAACGTATTGGATTTGTTCATTATCTGCATTCCTTCGTGGGGTCCATTCTTTCATGTGATCTTCTACAAACTCACTGCGCAAACCCTTAGGTATCTTGTCAAGGACAGGAAGGCACGCCCATAAACAACCTGAAATGTTAATAGCAGTTGGGATTCGCTAGTGAAATAACTCCTAGATATATTTTATAATCAGCCTTTTTTGTATTTATATTATAGAGATATCATACATCTATGAGCTTGACGCATTTCACACGAAGCAAAAAACATTTCTGGTTGAAGTGATGAAAAGTTCAAAGTAATTACGTTTCTCGATGACCCCTAATGATACTGAGTGTCTATTAAAAAACTATAGTAGGTATACGATAATTAGAAAACGTATATTTTTGATCAACATCATAAAATCGCTAATCATAGCAAGTCTCAGATATTCAAAGAAAATAAATAAGAAATTTGTGCAAATACATAAACTACACCATAGTATAAGAATAGAACAACACTATGACTACACCAATCGAGTAAAATGATATTTTTGTTTCGCGATTTTTGGACCTTGAACTTTATTACTGGGTGCAAATTGCACTTGCAGAAATATCTATCTCATCCGATACTAATATAACGTAATGTTTATATCACCTTTGGCTGTTTCCTCACAAAAATATAGGCTGAATTCTCTTATTTCGGAAACCATTGTGTGGAAACCAAGTGGACACAAATATTCTCGCAGTGTTTCTTCCCGATTTTCACAATTTTGAAAAGGAACATCCATTATGTCGTCTTTCTCGATAAATTTCGACCATTTTGGGCTTGTCCAAACCACTTTGTACATGTCAAAAAATTGGCAACTGGCTGGAAACACCAACAAGGCATCCCCACCCGATTTCATCATTTGTAGTATTCTGCCAAATCCATACCTATAATCCATGTTCTGATACATTATTGACTTTCGCGTAAGTGACTTACCTACGTATAATCACTGAGGTACTGTAAGGCCCAAAACGAGAATACGTAATCGAATCGTTCTTGAAAATCTGAAGGGATCTGATCGGTTAAAAAGTTAAACTTTCGAAACGTAATTGCTTCGCATCCGTAGTGGTCATTTGCGTACTTCACCATGTTCTCCGATTGATCAACGCCAATCATTTTTTTTATGTCGCTGCTAAACATTTGATACAAATATTTATAAGAAAACCAACCGGGACCGGACCCTAAATCTAAAGCAAGTTTTTGCTTCGTCCCATTTCTTGAAAAATGTCCTAAATAATCTTTTATAACACACTCCATATGAACATCTAAAATTTTGCCAGTTTTGTCGTATAATTCTGGGTTATTCATGGTTAAAATGACTTCAGTAGTCTAGTACCTACTATAATATGTTTCTCGGAACTGAATTAGCTCTTGGTGCGTTCGAGTATATGTACATACGTGCTTTATCAAAAAAGAGTTCCATAGTTCAAGTAACGAAATTATTGTCTTAATATTCATATTGTGTAACAAATACGTAAAATAGACTTACACGACAAGAGCCGAACGATAAGCGGCGTTTCACCACAACACGTATCATATCGGCTACCTAACAGCCGCTTGTGTTTAGAATTGAAAAACATTTATTTGTTTAGGTATTAAGTCTATGGCGTTGACTATACATATAATGTAGTTGACAGACCATTTTTTTTTTATTAATGCAGGTCCTGAATGAAACTGTTTTTAAAACCTTATCAAGAAGAAGTCATAGGTCCCTCACTTTATATTGTAGAGAAGTTTGGAACTGTGTAAAATAAAATTGTGTTTCCATTTGAAATTTTGGTGCAGACGATTTTTGGTAAAAAAGGGAGGTCTGCCTTTTTTTGAGGCCCGAAAAAAAATTGTCTCAGATCGACCCGGAAAATAGTATATTAAGATACAAGTGTATAATCAAGTCTTTAAAGCACGCGCAACGAGTTTAATGGCACGACGCAAAGCGGAGTGCCTTTAACGTTGCAAGTGCTTTAAAGACCAATTATACACGTGTGTCTTATAGTATTTTTTATTATACCTGCAGGTTAATTAAAAAATAGCAAATACAATGAAAGCATATTGACGTTGTCCTCGAATACATGTCTACTTTAAGTGGGCCGGGTGTTCGTAATTTTACGATTGCCATGGAAATGTCACTTGACGTTTGGTTATAAAAATCATCGAATTTGTTAATAAAACGATTTCCGTTGAAAGAGATAATACACCGTCCATTAAATCGCTTGTTGAAAAATCTAAACAAACGTTGGTAGGTGAAAAATCCAAATCCAGTAAAGCCTATTATAAAGAATATGAAAAGTTGTTTCCATGGCTGAATAGGAAGTTACTTACGAATAAAGTCTTAAATGCATCGATAATGCTGGCATAATATGAAGGAAATGTCAAAGGTATTTAAATCTTCTATCTTTTGGTGCATTCATTCAAAACTTGAAACAATGCTGCGATTAAAAAGTGGGACAGATTTGGAAGTGTGCCCTAAATTACGCGCGTTTGTGAAAGCTTCAACCAAAGGATAGGTACAAGCCAAAAGAAATGTTTTACATTTACAGAAAATGACCTAGGAAGATTTTTTATTTCTGCCCCAGATGACAGTTTCAAAAGTCATACTTGAAGTATCGTTCTATCGTTACTTAGCAACTTTAAAGCACGTGTGTTTTAAAGGTCTCTTTTCGCACGCATTTGAGTGTTTAAAACGGAGATTGTGATTCAGGTATAATAAAAAAAATTTTCTATTTCAGTGTCACAATGATGATTTTGTACAACTGTTTTCGGCCGAAAACAGTTGTACAAAGACAGTGATTATAGTCGTTTTTTTTTGGTAACTCATCTCTAAGTTGGCAGTTACTAGTTAGTACAAGTAGGTACTTCGTTGGGCACTTCCATGATTGAACTTCAAAATGTCAGTCTTACTACGCTGCCAACCTAAAACTTAACGGCATAAAAAGTGTTCCCAACATAAAACATGTTAGTTCTAAATGTTCCCTATAGTTTCTGAGAATGATTTTTTTAATTAAATTAAAGCACCGAAATAGAAAAAATAGTATGAAAAACGCGTGTTACAATGCTTTATTGTAATACTTCTATCTTGCGGACACTCGTGCCTACGCTTCGCGTCGCCACTCGTGCCACAAGATAGTCGTATTACAATAGGTCGCATTGTAACACTTGTCTTTCAATATACTATTCTATTTCGGTGTCACAATGATGATTTTGTACAACTGTTTTCGGCCGAAAACAGTTGTACAAAGACAGTGATTATAGTCGTTTTTTTTTGGTAACTAATCTCTTAAGTTGGCAGTTACTAGTTAGTACAAGTACGTACTTCGTTGGGTACTTCCATGTTTGAACTTCAAAATGTCAGTCTTACTACGCTGCCAACCTAAAACTTAACGGCATAAAAAGTGTTTCCAACATAAAACATGTTAGTTCTAATGTTCCCTATAGTTTCTGATAATGATTTTTTTAATTAAATTAAAGCACCGAAATAGAAAAAATAGTATGAAAACCGCGTGTTACAATGCTTTATTGCAATACTCCTATCTTGCGGACACTCGTGGCTACGCTTCGCGTCGCCACTCGTGCCACAAGATAGTCGTATTACAATAGGTCGCATTGTAACACTTGTCTTTCAATATACTATTATCTACGAGTAAAACATTACACATTCACGGAATTTAAAGTTACCAAATGTCAGTGTTGTGTTTATCCACGGTGCCAACTTAAAATTTGTCAACGTAAAAGGTGCTGCCAACTTAAGATATATTAATTCTAAAGTTTCCTGTAGTTTTTAATAATTACTTTTTAATTAAATTAAAGCCCCGAAATAGAAAAAATAGTATGAAAAACACGTGTTACAATGCTTTATTGTAATACTCCTATCTTGTGGACACTCGTGGCTCCGCTTCGCTACGCCACTCGTGCCACAAGATAGTCGTATTACAATAGGTCGCATTGTAACACTTGTCTTTCAATATACTATTTTCTTATAGAACGTAGCCTGTAGAATCCATTCAAACAGTTCCAAGATTGGGCTACTATATAGTTCAAAAGTTACAGCCCTTTGAATTTTCTTTCGAAATTGGTTTCTAGTCTATAACTTTTGATTGAGAAGTCTGATCGAAGAAGTACGAATTGTTTTGGATTCTACGCACCAAAATTAATAAGAAAAAGTGTTTTCCCGAGAAATTTTGGTGCAGTCGATTTTTCGTAAAAAAGGAAGGTTATACACTGCCTTTTTCTGAGGCCCGAAAAAAAATTGTCTCAGATCGACCCGGAAAAAAAATTTTCTTATAGAACGTGGCAATAAATTGAGTAGGTATATACTAATCGTAGAAGTATCTATCCTATAGAATATCTAAAAATGGGATAGAAAACAACGCTGGTAGGGCCTGTAAAATTTTGGAAAGGACCTCAAAAGGTATAAAGGCAGTTTTGATAACACCATCTATAGGCTTTGGAATGTTTTCGATTACTGGGTGAATTCTTTGAATGCTCTATCAAGCATCAAACTTTCTAAAACTATAACATTTATGTGATGCACTTAGGGGACTGACAAATGGTGTAAAAACTGTGGAAATGGCCTAGTTGCTTCCGCAAAAAATGGTAAACTGCTTTGGATAGCCTTTGAACCCATCGACTTCCCTAGCCATCGGTTACAACGTGTTCCAAACCTTCCGGGTTGGTCCCAATTCCTTCCAAGAAGACTCAGAAAATGAATGAATTTGAAGTATAAATGAACGGAACTTTTACTGCTATCCGACTAGAATACAGGAACTGTAATAATAGATGTAAATTGAATTAGTAAGGAAGCTATCGAATTTTGAAAGTTGGAAAGCGGCACCGTTTAAAGTTGGCACTACGTGCTTTAGAATTTTTATTTTGTGCCTAAATATAAAATAACGATTCGGAAATTTATCTACTGCCGACGCAAAAAGTGTGTGCACTCGAGTTTGAAGGTTAATAAAAAAAAATAACCATTGGGTCGATTTTAATGGGACTTGTACCAAATTAAAGCCTGTTTTGTTCTGCACTCCTTTGACCTAACAAAAAATTTTTTAGTAATATTATCACTACAGCCCGCGTACCATAAAAAGTACCCCGTTTTCGCGGTTTCCTACGTCGCGTCGCGGTAAACTTTAGACTCAAATAGAAACAAAACTATTGCAGTTTGTATATTTTAAAGCAGATATCCAAATGCTGGAGTCGCTCCTTTACCGCTACTTTACGTAAGTTAGACCTATGATTCCATTTTTCTGCGCGCAGAGTTAATTCTACGTTGCTTCAGGATGGAAAACGTGATTGTAGTGGCAGTTCCGGCAGATATTTTTCTATAGTGAAATTTTCAGTTTTCTTTTCGTGGAAAAGTGTTAAACATGGTACGTAGAAGACTTAAATACAGACAGATCGAGCTTTTAAAAGCAAGTGCAGCAAAGACAAGATATGCTGGATCCCCATCAGGAAACCAAGGTAACAATGGAAACTAAATTACTGATGAACTTGGGGCCCACAGTGGCCTTATGAACCTAGCAGCTAGCACTGCACATAGGAATCCAAAAAACCTGGCTCATGCTCATACAACCATCTATGACTGAATAATGTGTAACATCTGAATAGATAAAAAACATATAAGCAGGAGTCGCTCACTACAGAAAGCCCAAACCCAGATACCGCAAGAAAGTTCAAAATCATCAGCCTGTTGACCTGAGTTGGAGGGTGTAACACATCCATGCTCAAGATTATCATTTGTAGAATTATAGAGATGAATCGGCCTACATGAAGGAAGAAACCACCACTGAGTACCAGTATAATAAGACAGGTGTTAGAATCTGGGTTTAAACACACCAACAGCACAGTAAACCAGAGATTGACGTGCAATGTGTCGAATCTAGGCAATCTAAGATGGGTCAATGGTGATAAATTCAACAGTTAAACAGACAACAAATTCCTTCTTCTGTTTGAATGTAAACATGGTCTATGATTTCAGCGGCCTTTAAATCAGAAACACCCTGTATCTGGACAAAACAGTGGATTTATTCCCGTTAGTTCAAAAGTGCATAATTTCAAATTTCTATGGCTTAAAAATTATAAACATTTAATAGGGTTATGTTTATTTTTATTCTACTTTATTAATTTATTCTAAACCAATTTCAAGGGAGCAACTTGAATATGTTAAGGTTTTATCATTGTACAACAAACCTTCAATATAACTTGAAGTAACTGCCATTCGCAAATTTTATTTATTAATTTCCTCTTTTTAGGTATCTCATTAACTTACAGCGGAACACTTTTAAAACTTTTATACACAACACTGCCCAGTCCTTAAAATGTACACAAAAAGTACCGTTGTCATTGTGTTCTGTAACAAAATTTGGACTTTTTATAACATCGAGCTCCGCTGTAAAATTGTACTTCGGCAGAGCGGCGCAGTGCAAAGTATCTCGCACCAGGTTAACAGGCTATCGATCAATTAGTGATAAAGATTTACAGTTTGATTGGAACAAATTATGGCATTATTTAAAACCACACATCAATTTTTTCCTCGCAGCAATATTGGTATATTCATTGCGGATGGTTGTGCTTAATGTACATTTGACTTTAGGGAGCGTTAGCGGTTGCAATTTTAAACATACAAATTCCACAGTTGATGAGCGGTATAGTAAATGTAGTTGCACGCTTCAGCGATACTCGGGATACTGTCATCTTCCTGAAAGAAATTAAACTGCCTGCCCTACGCCTTTTATCAATGTACATTGCACAGGTAATATTGGAAACGTTTGGCGGATATTCTTAAATGTAATCACAGAACAGTCCGTATTTACAGCTTTCTACATAAACATGCTGTCTCATCTTGGAGAACGAATGGCTTACAATATTAAGACGGACTTATTTAGTTCAGTATTGCATCAAGATATTGCATTTTTTGATCAACAGCGTACAGGGGAAATCATTAACAGGTATGTACTGTATGTGCTATTAGAATTACGTCTGCCGCCTAATCCAGTGGTGCTGCCAGAAGTGGTTTCATTGGGTGAGTCAAGCATCACTTGAAAGGTGACAAAATTGTTATTCTATTTTACCTGTACATTATTAAGATTGGTTAGCGAGATGACATAAATTGCAGGTGCCCATTGTGGAATAGGACACCACTTATACAGGGTGGAACGTTAGCCTTGAAAACATCCCAAGGTCTCAAGCCGACATTTATTTTGGGACACCCTGTATATTGAATTTTTACATAAACTGATATTAATACTCAGACTAAAACGAGTCTCAGTGAGTGGGAAAAACTAAAATAATTCAATACCCAGTTGACAGCGCCTTAACCGCTGATGTAGAATACTTTTTAGCGCATTTTCCAATTCATGGTGGAAGGCTCTATTATGGCACTTATTGTCAGTCCGTCCGAGGCCTTAACTACTATAACAGTAATCCGGAACAAAGATCAGGAAACTTTGTTCCGGATTATCATTTACCCCATTTCGAGCTTCCCTGAGAGAATGGGTACTCAACAAGTTACTATAACAGTTTTCAATATATTTAATTCACTCCTGGTACCTGAGCCAAGAAAAATTTTGATAATATTAATGTGCGCATGCGATCAACTTTTTTTTTTTGATTAATATATTTTGTTGAAACTTGAACCACCTGATGCTCCTAGTAAAGGCTCGAGTAAAGGTAAACATCGCATATAGTAAAAATCAGATGTGCGCATGCGTAGATTACGCAATGCCTCCTTGCTTATTTATGGAGACATTACTTTGAAATGTTAACCAGAGATACTTTCTTGTTAAGAAAAATATAGTTCATATAGCTATGGCGCTTTGGGAAATACTCATGCATTCGCCTTAGGGCGAAAACTTTTTTTAATTTATTTATATGGTCAGCACTTTTTCCGAGGTGCGTCAAGTGAGAGGCACACTCTTAACATATATTTTTTTTATATTCTTTATGTACATGAACATTGTTATTGGGGTAACCTGTTATGTTCATAAATAAATAATATTTTGGGTAATTCCCCTGGCAGCGCCACAGTGCTGATCATCTGTATAGTATTGGAAATACTTTAGGTTAACGTCCGATGTGCAAGATTTCAAAAGTAGCTTCAAGCAAGTTATTTCTGGTGGTTTGAGAGCCACTACGCAAATAATCGGCTGCGCAATTTCTCTCATTGTGATATCACCACAAATGACACTTGTGACGCTGTTATGTGTGCCAGCCGTAATCACAACGGGATCTGCTTTGGGTTCGTTGCTACGGAGCACTTCAAGAAGCGCCCAAGCTCAGGTGTGGTGTACTTATGTATATATAATTTTCATCGTGGACATTTTTGCTTTGACAGATTGAAAAATCAACAGCAGTTGCCGATGAAGCAGTCAGTAACATTCGTACTGTGAGAGCGTTTGCAATGGAAGAGCTGGAGCTTGACATGTTCGAGCGCGAGGCAGAGCGGGCGCTCGTGCTGAATGAACGGCTTGGTTTAGGCATAGGATTATTTCAAGGGGGTGCAAACTTATTCCTAAACAGCATGGTATTGGCTACACTGTACATGGGTGGATATTTGTTATCCGTTAATCAGCTATCACCGGGGCAATTAATGGCATTTTTAATGTCTACACAAACGATCCAACGTTCACTGGCCCAAATCTCGCTATTATTCGGATCAGTGGTTCGTGGAATGGCAGCCGGTGCTAGAGTTTTCCAAGTATGAATCATGATTTAAATTCTCTTATACCCACAAGGATTCTTTGATCCCAATAACAATTGCAAATATAAAACTGGGGAAATACTCCATCCACTCAGGTTAATGGTATCAGCGCCACTCACAAGGATACAAAACTATACAAATTATAAAATCTGTACCTATGTGGGTTCAGGAGTATGTAACCCCACGGTGTGCAGAATGTAATAGTGAGATAAACTCCATATACTTTTTTTTAATATTGTGGGATTTGATTTAGCCAAGAGTGGGTCTAGGTTCAGGGCACATAACCGCCATGGCGCCATATACTTACGGATAAATTGATTTTCGATTTTTTTCGATATTTTTAATAGTTTCTCAGAAAAAATGTAAGTGGTTTTTTCGAAAAAAAATTAATATCTCCGTAACCCGTTTACCGATTGGACCGATATATTCGATCATTTTAAAGAGCGTTTAAACGCGTCTCACGTATAAATTTGGTTTTAAAAAAAATGGATTCTACACTGAAAATCGAGGACATTCAATCTAAAATGAACAGTTTTTGTAGATAGAGGAACGATATGAACATTTTTTCAAGTCAGTTTCTTTCTACTGAAGGACCTCTCACTATTCTATTCTTTGCACCAATGTAACCCTCAAGAACCTTCCACAACTACTTTTCATTAACTCTTATTTTCAGTACATCAATTTAAAACCCGGCATGCCTTTGACAGGTGGAAAGATACTCCCCTCGGAAACTATGAGGGGGGAAATTGAGTTCAAAGATGTTGTATTTGCGTATCCCACTAGGCCAGAACAAGTAATGTTTTCCAATAACTTTTTCCAACTTGTAAAGCTTTGGATCACTTGTAGGTCATTTTACAAAATTTCAATTTGCGAATACCAGCCGGTAAAACTGTGGCAATCGTCGGAGGTTCTGGAAATGGAAAGTCAACAGTAGCTGCATTACTAGAAAGATTTTACGAGGTTAATAAAGGATCAATTACACTAGATGGGGAAGATATTTCCGAGTTAGATCCTACCTGGATGAGGCAATCGGTTTTGGGGTACATAAATCAGGAACCAACACTTTTTGCTACAACAATAATGGAGAATATTCGGTATGGTCGACCTGATGCTACCGACACAGAAGTAACAGACAAATGTAAAATGATTTTTAACACATCTTGTAATCATAGGTTATTGAAGCAGCTGAACTTGCAAATGTACATAGTTTTGTTATTGGATTCCCAAGAGGCTATAACACATTAGTTGGCGAACGTGGCACAACATTATCTGGAGGGCAGAAACAAAGAATTGCAATTGCCAGAGCGTTGTTAAAAAATCCTTCCGTTCTAATTTTAGATGAAGCTACAAGGTTTGCATGGGAGTTAGTATGTTTACCTACAGAGTGTCGTTCATGTAATTTCAGTGCTCTTGATACGGAATCTGAGAACATAGTTCAACAGGCTTTAGACAAAGCGAGAGAAGGGCGAACTGCATTGGTTATAGCTCACCGCTTATCAACAATAAAAAATGCGCACATCATTGTAGTACTTAGTAAAGGACGCATTGTCGAGGTAATAATCTTAACAAAACGTTCCACTTCTACACAAAGTGTTCCAGATGGGTACGCATGAAGAACTTAAAAATTTGAAGGCGCACTACTGGTCTCTTAATTTCCAACAGAACAGCGGCGAATAAAAAAAAATAAGAATTTATTACTAGTCGAGATTGAAATACAAATATTTAAACACAATTTAAAATTATTTAATACTAGGGTCAGTTCTAGTTTCCCTTCGAGTATCTCTTCCAAAACTTTTTTACATCATCATGGCCTGATTTATTTACAACCATCGTTCGCTTCTCCTTATTGCTCCAAATTAAATATCCGCTTGATTGAGCATATTCACGTAATACATTAAAGTCCGCCTACAATACATTGCAAATAAGTAAAGTCGCACAAACTGAAACAAAATCATCAAAAAACCAGGTGCCAAATTCTTGACAGAGCAGCTTCCTAGCTCAAACTAAAATCATTTTTAACAGTCTTTATGCCAAAATTTTAACGAAACCATAATACCGGTTTTATAAAAAAAAACTTGAGTCTTGCCGTTATCTCGGAAAATGGCCTAAGTACAAACGGAAAAAAATGTTGCTTAAAATGATATAAAACGTCGAAATTTTATGAAATTTTGACATGTCCAAAAAACGGTGACCGCAATAGCCATCTAGCTCAAACTGAAAAGCCGTATGAAAAGCTAAAAATGCAAACTTTAACGACACTTTGCTGACGAAACGCGTTTTTTTGGTGTTGACTACAAATTTACTTAATTAACAAAAAAGCACTTACCTGAGACAAAAATTGGCTATACAAAACTCCATCGGAATAAACTAGACGATTTCGTTCTAACTCCCACAGCTTGATTTGATCGATGACCGTGGGAGGTAACGCACTTCCCACTTCGCTCTGAAGCATTTGAGGATGTGCGTGTTGAGTGAGATATCCGATAATTTGTTCGGCAGTTATTCCCCCTCGTAGTGCTTGCCTAATTGAGTCGCGAGTCAATATTCCGACTACGACATTTGGAAATCGATATAATAAATCTGTAAATAATCCTAAAAGTGCTACTTGTAGATTGGAATCCGTATAAGCGTAGACCCTGTAATTTGTTTCGACGACTATGTAACCTTTCGGAACGTCTTCCTCTAACACTTGCGTTCCTTTACTTTGGCTACTGGTTATATTTAATGCTAATCTCGTCGGGTAAAAACGACCCGCTTTGCGCTACAATTGGAAGAATTACTTGTGGGTTTAAGGGTGCAGATAAACAAACAGATTTCTTATCGTATAATCTACTGAATAAAACTAGCTATATGGTCGCAGTGCTATAATCTCAACACCAGATGAATGACAACAAGATAATATTATACGGTGTTCCCGAGGATGTCCCACTTGTAAAGAAAACTTCTCACAACACAGCTTCTATCTACGGAAAATTAATTTGTATGTATTTTTTTGATAACAGTTGCAAATACGAAAAAATTACAAAGACCAAAAAGTTTCTAAACAAATCAGAAAATTAATTTCTTATTTTACAATCTACCAGCGATGCACCGAAAAATATTCACGGGGAAAAAGTGATAGTGAATCGCGCTTCACATCTTCAAAATGTAAACAAACTAATATCAGCAAATTCTTCAGAGAAAACAAATATCGTACTAAAAAATTCGGCGCTGTCACACTTGCGGGTCCAAGTAAAACTGCCGGGTCGTAACCAATATCCAGGTAGATCAACGTAAAAGGTAATCCAAAAGAAAGAAACGATGAGAAACTTAAAAGAAAACTATAAGGGTTGAGTTTTGAGTAAAGGTAAAACTTGAGTGAAAATATGTAAAACACCAATCCATAAAAACGTTTCAATGAAGCCACCACAGACATCAAAGAGAAGGACACTACAGGAATTAACTTGCATCAAAGATAGAGTAATATTATCTTTGCTTGCATCTACACTAATGGATTACAAAGAAGATACCTAGATGGCGTAAGGATATAAATAAGCGCAAGAAGTCAAATACTTAAACGGAATTATAAATCAGTAATATCAATTGGCAAGAAAATAACATTACAAAAAGAGTGAATGTTTTTAACGCAATAGTACTAATGTCGAGACTAATGTATTAGGGCGCGGACGCGATATTAGAGCAATGGGTTTAGTATTGTATGTTTGTCTTCAAGTACCTACGGCCTTGTGTAGGTGTAATCTAATCTCATCTAAGAATACCTATCACCAAACATTCCCCAAAAATCTTTTAAACTGCCATATTTTTATAGGGAATGCTGAATGGTTTTCCATTGATTGCATGATGCTATGTAAACATACTTAGTGATGACGTCATAATACTCCAATGACATGCGCACAAATTAAAGAAAATCGTACTATATCTAGTATCTGTATACCCTACTACACTCTGTGCTCTGATATTATGCCTCTGATGGAGACATGACTATATATAAAAAATACAAGTTGATATGCCCAACCTATTTCGAAACTCACAAACCACCACTGGGCTGATATCTGGGCATTCAACAAATGACACCTTTTTAAACAAAATTCTTTCTGTTCATATGCATTAAATAAAACATGTGGCTTTCTACACGAAATTGCAACCCTCAGATAGACAATGGATGTAATTTCATTATTTGCTCACCTTACATGTTAAAATTTTACTGTACTGTACTATAGAGATCAAATTTTGTTTAAAACTAGGTACCTAAGATCAGAGATATAGCTGCAAACCATCTATGCATCACATTAACACTCTTCTATGGTGAGACAAGACAATCCAAAATTGCAATTGGGGCGCCTAGAAATTTATTGAGTTGAAAGTCATGAAGAAATTCTGTTTGTTTATCTTTGAATAAATGTTTTACCTTTCTTTGATACACTAATCCAAATTCACGCAAATGTTGTAAAAATATCAATAATCTAGGACTCATACCCTCCGTGCTATAATCCTATAAAAAAAACTCGCATTCAAGCCTAGGTCTACAGGTGAAAAATGTCTCACCTTTCCGAGTGTACTAAAACTAAGTTGAAACAGAAAAGTCAAACACTCTGCTAGATCTAAGCCTCGTTGCTCGACCGTATCGAGATACTGCAGCACAAAGTGCCACACTTGTGCTTGCCTATCTAATAATAAAAATTGAAAACCTTGGCGCGTAATCACAGGACTGCCGTCGCTTTCGTCCCGTTTCATTAGGCCGGCGTGCAATAAGATACGAACGGCGTCGGCCGATATTCCTTCTTGCTGTTGAGAGCCCACCATATAATGAAGGACGCACTCCCATCGTTCGGCGGAATATCCGTCTAAGAATGCGACATCTCTCGCCTTATTATCGGGATCTAAGGCAGAAGACATACTCCATGGTTTACCTCTGAGGAAATTCTTTCAATTACACTGCAGAACTTTGTAAGTACTCACCCCCCCAAAAGGGCTATTTTTAGATTATGTTTAAAAGTTGATGATAAAATCCATCCTTGTAAACCTCCAGGAATTGAGGCTTCCTGCCATACATACAGATTACTTAACACTTTACTAACATACACATGCTCTCTAGAAATAAGCAGATAAACCTCAGGAAATGCGTATTTAAAAAGTACCTACTTTGAAAACGCTTGGTGTCCCCAAGACGCTACGACTGCTTGGGGTACCGGTTGTTCAACAAACAGAATACGTATCACATACTGGCGTGCCAGCTCAGGCAATTCTCTACAAGAAATACTTTACAAATTCTTACAGAAAATGTTCAAGGCAGCACCTGTACACTGCTAAACATATAGTAGGGCGATTATACAGCTTTTCGAGAACATTTTGAGGTCTGGTAGTTAAATAATCGTATAAATTTTTACATTCCAAGTTGGTTGGTTGTATGAGCACGGAGTTATTTATTTGATTTGAACTCGATATGCCATTATCTGCCATTTAACTTAATATCACAAGTATATTTATTATTGTAGATGTATTTTACAGAAGCAAGTTTTATAGGTTAAGTTTACATTATCATATCCCCTGTTTTAACCTTTAGGGATTTTTATTTTATTCAATACCAATCTGTTATATATAGGAGGGCTCGATGTATCATGCCCGCCAGGAATGGCGGACACAGAACACCCGATACCGGTCTACAATCGTATGTTTTTCATAGCGAACCATACGATTGTAGACCGGCATCATCCTGTTCAAACCAACAGGTTCCAAATGTTGTTTGTTTTGCGAGCCGTACTTCGTGGTATTCATAATAAAAAATTTGCTGTGGCTAACATAGATGCCGCGATTCTGCCCTTTTATGTCCAAGAATATGTCGAATATGCCGGAAATGAAAGTTTGACACACTTGCACATGTGCGATTCTGCCCAAAAGCTTTTCAGCTCTTCCTTTTGTAGCCAAAAATATGTGTACTAAGTTTGATTTCAGTCGGTTCAGCCGTTTAGCCGGAAATGAGAGTACAGACAGACAGACCGATCGACATTTTGCTCGATTCGGATTCCTGGTGCTTCAAAACGTGTATTTCCTTACAACAGCGTGCGGGTGGTAAAATGGTACCCAATACAGTAGGTACCTATATTCTTTTTTCACGGACCGTATAAAGAAATAAATATGATGATTTCTCAGAATTGTCCCCAGACGCGTCCTTTCCTCCTACGCCTCTGTAGGAACACATTGAAAAACTGCTGTTTTTAGTTAACCTATTTATTTCCTAAATGTTTAATAAGAAAAATTAGAACATTTCTTATTCATTTACTAGTTTTAATTATTACAGGCATTAGACTCCCACTCTCAAGAGCCTGTGTTCACTTCCCGATCACAATTCTTCTGTTCAGGGTTCGGCTAACTTAGTACCTAGGGTAATGGTGCGCTGCTAAGGACCGCAATACTAGTCAGATTGCCGCTAAATGGACTCCAGATATGGCCAGGCCTAGAAGTACGTGGCTCTAACACCCTTAGACCCGTAAAAAATATTCAGATATATAAATAATATATTATAGGTACTTACCTACTACTTATTAGATTTATTTACTTATTTTGTAGACCATGTTACGAGGTTTGATTACGACTCCGAAAGTTCGGAACTTCCAATTGATTTTGCATTTTCGATTCCAATAAATTTTAATCTAGTTATAATTTTATATTATATTTTTATATTTATTAATCTAGTTATATCAGACGATGCATAGCGATTTCCTCACCCCATGCCTTCTGTTGATTGCTCTTTTACTTGTTTTGTTCATTAAATCTAATATGCTTCTTTTATTTCATTTACTACATGTTTGATTGTTTTATTTTCACACCCGGATATGCACCTGTGTATTATTTTTTCAATTGATAATAAAGATACCTATAACCTATAACAGACCCAATAACTATATTTTTATTTTATTAGACATTTCTCTTCTGCCTCAATTCCAATAAACCAAAATTGAAAGCTTTGAATTCGGTTCCCATATATAACCGCTTCCGTAATATCCCTAATTACAATGACAATTCAACACATGTATAAAAAATCGCATAAGACGCAGTGCAATTGTCACTTTTACAGCGGCAAAAGTTACCTGCAACTTTTCCAGCGACAAATGCACTAGTGGTTTTTTCACTTATTCATTTTCGAACCAATTATCACATTATCCTTTCCCATATGACTAGTTTGACGTCTGTCAATAATTGATTAGTTGGTGAATTTCTTGTTCGTTAAATTGTCCTGCCGAATTACACTCGAGGTTTGTATTTAAACCGAGTAAATTTGGGTTGTTGCAATTCAAATCTGTTTCCTTTTAGCAATTGAACTCGAAAAACTGTCAACCTAAAAATGCTCCACCTTCGGTGTCGCATTTTTATTAGTTAACAGTTTTTCTCGTCTAATTGCTAGGCAACAGATTTTCATTACCTTAACAACCCAAATTTACTCGGTAAAATACAAACCTCTTGTGCAATTATAAGTGACAATGAAACTATGAATGTCATATTTTATTACCACCTGCGCACTTCTATGGTAGCAAATGAGTACCAATATTTTATTACTTAGTATAGTTTACTGAAAAACATATAAAGGCAGTAGAATTTAACCACAAATGAACAACAATAAATAACGATGTATATTAGTGTCTCATATACAAAACAAAAATTTATACAGGACGGGTGTAAACTTAAAAAAAATACAGATGTTGCAAATTAAGTAGAGTGCACAAAGCAAATGTTTTCAATTTGGGATGGAACATGGTAATTGTAAATTTTGAATTTTTTTAAAAACAAATCTGTACTGCAATCAGCATTAAAGTCCTGCTACAATAATGCGAGGATCTTCGACAGCCGCTTTAATTTTCCTTAGGAAGAACACAGCCTCACGACCATCAATTAATCTATGATCATACGTCAACGCGATGTACATCATTGGTCTGATGACAACCTGCAATGAGCATTTTAATATACAAACATGAACGCAGATTAAAAACATACTTGTCCCTTAAGTGCGATTGGTCGTTCAAAAGTACCATGCATACCTAATATCGACGATTGTGGCGGATTTATAATGGGCGTGCCCATCAAGGAGCCGAAAACACCACCGTTGCTTATAGTGAAGGTACCTCCGTCCATATCCTCCACAGTTATTGCTCCTAAAAAAGAGGATCAAACATTTGCACGCAAGAAATAACGAACAACAAATAAAGCTAATGTATTGAGTGCCCAAAACCTGGAGCTTTCAAATTTCCCGTATAGTTCAATAACCCCCCCTCCCTCACTAAATCATGAACAAACCTTTTCTAGCCTTTTCTCCCAGTGCGTTTAGTGCAAGTTCAATTTCTGCATAATTCATACTTTCCACGTTTCTTAACACTGGAACAACGAGACCTTTAGGTGTTGCAACAGCAACAGAAATATCAACATAATCTCTGTAAATAATCTCTTGCCCTTTTGCATCGATGACTGCATTTACAACGGGTTGATCTTGCAATGCATATGCAGACGCTTTCAAGAAAGCGGACATGAAACCGAGTTTAATACCATATTTCTTTTGGAAAGCATCCATGTTAGCTTTGCGGAATTCCATGATAGACCTGAAAAATAGCAATGTTGACAAATAAGTACTAAGTGATTATGGATTGAGTACGTCATGTCAATCTCATTAAATGTAGTAAGCATAGCATTCACATTTTGTGCTTCTTTTAATCTCTGCGCGATTTTTTGCCGCATCCTATTCATCTTAACTCGATGTTCCGTTCGGGTGCCGGCAATTTCCTTCGTTGGATCCTTGGGTGGAACCTGAAAGATGTTTAACTTGACGCATTGATTTTGGAAAGATACGGATGTACTTTGAGAATTGTAGGTGCTGGTCCCACGGGAATTGCAGATACAGGGGCCGCTGGTTTTGGTGGTGCGGTAGCTGGTTTGGGTGGGGCAGATGGAGGAGCTTGCGGGGGCGGTGGTGGCGGCGTAGCGGCCGGTTTCGGTGGCGGAGCCGCTGCTGGTGAAGGTGGTGCTAGAGAAATAGAAACAATAATATTTTATCCTTTAACATAATAATAATATCAGCTATTCTACTAGATAGACTGAAATCAATTTTTTGTGTTTTCAATTAAACCGCCAGTGGTAACGGCGACGAAAAGGAAAATGGAGACCAAATATATTGAGATCGCCATTAGATTTTTGGGTCATTAGTATAAAAATTCATTACATAAAAAATTGAATTGAACTTTCATATGTAGCATTGTACCTTTACAAGTACTTATTCAATTATTTATGGCTGTTTTTATTTTCCTTACATTCGCCAACATTCTATAAATGCTCGATGCTCACAGCTCTATAATCTATATAATAGTGAATAGGTAATTAGAACAGTTTATTGCAGCATATTGCACCCATTAAATAACGCAAGGCAGTTACTGTAGTTTCATAATAAAACATTTGAATACAAAACGTTCAGCAAATTTAAATGTACATTAAATGAAGTCTCCAATTTTGATAATTGACTACTTTAGAAGATGACTCCAAAAAAAAAGTTACAGCGAATACTTAAATAAGGTAATTTTCCAACCAAGGATGACACTATAAGTGTAGTCAACAAAAATAAACAAAGATGCATAATTAATGGGTCATCCATTAAATATAAACTCGCACAAATAGAAAAAATCAGAAAAACGATTAATTACAAAAATGGGAAATAAAATATTATCAAAATATCAACCACAGTCTTTCCGTAGATTACCACTAACATCCTACACCCTATATTGTTTACAATAATTGGCATACTATAGTGACTAAGATCGCAACCAAACGCCACGAATTAATCAAAGATCCATTATTCCATTAAAAAATACAGGGTAATCATTGCTACACCAAAAGAAGTAGAAACTGTACATTTACTCGCCAAATAACAAATGTTCGATGTGTATCCCATTTGTCACATAACACACGTCCAAACAGCTCAGACCATTTTGTAGTATGTCCATACCTATTGTTACCTGACCCGAGTCATTTGCACTGGTACGCGCGATCCAGCGATGTGGAAGTTCGTCATTTAATGTCCTTCATTTAGGGGTATGTTTATGTCTATTTTTCTTAGTTAAAAGAGAGAAAAATGTTTAATATAAAAGTTTCTTTGTAATTTTTAAATAATCTGCCATTTTCAAACTAAGTATACGGGGTCAGCTAAAAAAGTTATCAGACTTAACCTCATTTTTATCTTCATAGCTTGAGCTAGGTGGCAATTTTCCAAGGTAACGGCTCGACGGATTTTGTTCAAATTTTGGATAGATATGTATCTTAGGCATACTGAAACGAAAAATAACGAGCATGATTTTTGAAAATTTTGGATTGAGCTAGGAAGCTGTTCTGTCAAGAATTTGGCAACTGGTTTTAGGGTCGAAATTTTTTTAAATGATAGTATGGGGTAAAAGAAAAACTTTTCCAGACGATTCATTTTGCCTTTGAGAGTACTTGCCTCCGACAAACCGTTTTTGAGATATTCACTGTTATACGTCTTCAAAATGCACGAAATCATATTTCCAGGATTAATGGTGGGATCCCAAGTGTCGATTTTGTCTGGTTCTGGGTGTTATTCAGCAGATTCCTATATAAACGCTCTTTAAGAACGTCTGATTTGTAAATTCAGCTTATAGTCGATGCCATGTAAGAGAAATGGGAACAAGTCAACGCAATCTATCCTCGAATCTATCACACTTCCACTAGCGGAGTCTTATAGAGTTGGATAGGGCATTTATTTCAAAACACAGGGCAAACCGTAATAGATAAAAAGTTGCGCTAATCACACATTCATTACTCATAAACATTGTAAAAATGACACCATATAGGTAAGACACTTTTTTGCAAGAATGATAAACTATGCAATTTTGCACAAAATGTGTCTTCTTAATCCGTTTACATAATCATTAGTATTGCAGACGTGAATACGAAGGAAAAACCCCACTCATTGAAAACGGGTTGAAGAGAGAAGTATGTCCTTGGTCGACTTTTTTGTAAAAAGTAACTCTAAAACTCCACTAGCAGAAGTGTAATATTATACTGAACCCACTTTTGCAACCACTTTCTTATGTTGGACGACCACGAACAGTTTATACACCTGTATTTATTTTACACTTGGGTTCTAAATACAGAGAACCCCCTCCCTGAACCCCTGGAGACTATGCAATTATGTTTTACTTTTAAGACAAGTCTTTTAGTTACTTTGACCTTCTTAATTACATTGCACAGTTCCAGGCAACTTTACCTTAATATTTTAGAGGCAAGTGCAAGGCTGTTACCACACCTCCCACTTACACATATTGCCATTTAATTAGCAATAAATACCCAACATTATTGTGCTGATTCACATTTCTCATTTCTAAGAACTCTAGGAATGCATTATAACAAAGAATTTGGATTAATGTTTTTAAATCCTGACGTTATTTATCCTAACTCAAGGTTAAAGGAGAAAGTACCTGCTATAATTTAAATCAAGCAATTAAAAAAAATGGGGGCCACTGCCTAAATTTATCTAATCACCGACAGATGACTGATATAATTCTTTATATTTACATAGTTCCCTTGACCCTGAAATTAATTATCTGAAAGTACTACCTAATTGCTAAGCAAATATTTAAAAAACGTAAAACTATACTGTCCAACTTTAAGATACTCACGTGTGGGTGCCTTGGCAGCAGGTGCTGGTTTAGCACCACCGCCTGCGCCGGATAAGTCAATTTTTGCCAAAGGTGTTTTAGCCTTAACCGTCGAACCATCCTGTACTAATACTTCGGCAATTGTGCCGTTACCGGGCGACATGACTGGTAAGGCGGTTTTATCCGTTTCAATCTCTGCGATAACTTCATCTGTACTAACACTATCACCAACTTTCTTCTGCCACCTAAAGGATAATTGTTAACTTTAACTTTGAACAGGGAGGTGCTAACCTGATGTCACCCTCAGACACTGAATCGGGGAAATCTGGCGCACCTACAGTGACAATCTCAAATGACGGTCCGGATGTACGAAAGTGCCTAACCGATAATGGTACCAAACGCAAATTGTGCCTAAAAGTAATGGTAAATAGGTACACTGAAATTTTAACATGATGATACCCACCTAAATATATCATCGCCGTGGCTAATACGACATGCTCTCTGTACTAATTTTGTGGCTTCGTAAAGCGACTTGTGTCTAATGGGTACCTGAAAAATTACATAATTTAAATCTTACCTGTTAAGGTTAAGTTTAGACTGTTATGTAATGGGTAATTTCTACATGGAAACTAAAGAAATAAGATGTATGATAAGTACCTCGGAAACGTTTTTTTTTAAATAAATTTTTACTATTCTAAGTAACGGCCGTGGTAAATTACGAGAAGAGACGGAGAGTATACCAGCCATAACTACAAATTAGGATTTAACGAACCGTCTGAACATGGCAAAAAGAAATCGTCTGGCATTGACATTTGACAAACCAAAGTACCCAAACACGTGAGCACTTGAAGTATGCACTTTTACCTTACGAATAATATACAAGTTGGTGCATAAGATGAATCACATTCCCTAGCTGTTGTCTTTTATTTTCCAGTTTCAGACTTGTCCTATTTCTCTTCCTTCCCCTTCAAACACACTTTTCTCCTCCATCTTACGCTGCCCAACCGTCTCGATTGGAGGGAGCTGGGCTATTTTTATCCTGATTTTACGCTAGAGGTGTATCTTCTCGGTAGCATTGATTTAATCAATGATGGTAGTTTTCTTATTTCATATACATTAATACTTGCGCACCTCCCACATATGAGGTTTTTGAATATGTTCAACAGGAAAGTCCAAAGAACATTTAGACCAAATTTCTCAACTATAAACTTTTTCTTTTTATTTGTTGATTTTAGGCGATTTACTGCGGTATCCACAATTTTCGCAGCACTATGTATATTGTGGCTACGAAAGCGTTATGTGAGCTTAGTTGATCAAATTATGATGAAGTTTGTTTTTGATTTATAAAAGGAATAATGAGCAGCTCTGGTATTTATAATAGGATTATTAAATTAATAGAACGGTGGCCTCTTGACAAAAATAAGCCAGGAAGGTTTGTATATTAATTTTATGCAAAGGAACCTAACCTAAAATCCCCGTTTAACCTAAAACCTTGTCATAGGGATCTGGGACAGCACCTTCGAGATTACATAACTAAAGCTAATCAAGACGGATCATTATCCGGTAACGAAAAGTACTGGGACAAGCAGTATTTGGCAATTCAACGGTTAGTCAATAACGAGCACGGTAACAAGTACATTCGGAGCTTATCGTCAACATCAACAGGATTAACTGCAGAGCAGTGCAGTGAAGCTTTGACAAAGGAAGTTTTGGATACTCTCGAGAAGGAGAGTCGTTCTCTGTGGGAAAAGATATTTTATTTTCGGTCTAGTAAATAATGTTGCGACTCCTTAGTAAGGGCTTACCCATAGTTCGTTATCAATGTACCCAAGCTGCATGCAAAGTTGCAGAAAATGCCCCCCATACGCCTGTAATGGCTAACGAAGTATTGCACTACCTGGACCCCGATCCACATCATCTAATTTTAGATATGACATTTGGGGCTGGTGGTCACAGTCGAAAAATCTTAGAGACCACAGCAGATGTCACCCTGCTTACATTGGACCGAGACCCTTCAGCCCAAAGGTACATGGCTGATTTAGCGGTCGACTATCCTGGTCGAATTATACCACTCCTCGGACGTTTCTCAGAACTTCCAACTCTTCTAAGCGCCCTTAACATTGCACCTGGTTCGATTGACGGCATATTGTTTGATTATGGTTGTTCTTCAATGCAGTTCGATATTGCAGAACGTGGCTTCTCTGTCTCAAAAAATGGACCACTAGATATGCGTATGGACGGTGATCGCTTTCCAGACAGTATCACTGCCGCCAAAGTTTTAGCTAATGCAACTGAAGAGGATCTGTATAAAATATTAAAAGTGTACGGAGAAGAGAAACAGGCACGAAAAATTGCACGAGCCATAATCGAGACCAGATATTTATTTAAGAAATTAACAACAACCGAAGAATTGGCAGATCTAATCGACTCAGTTTGTGGAGATGAAGTTCGATTTGACAAGCTGCATCGAAAGTCTCACAATGCCACCAAAACCTTTCAAGCTTTACGCATTTTTGTTAATAATGAATTGAACGAAATTAATTACAGTCTGATTTTATCTCAGAAATATTTAAAGTTAGGTGGCAAATTGATTACAATCACGTTTCATTCTTTGGAGGATACAATTGTCAAACGACACATGCTCGGAAATATCATCCAAAATGTTGCAAATCAATTGCCACTTAAATACGTTAGTCATAGTGTTAACATTGACAATGATTTCTTTGTTGAGGCTTTAGAATCTAATTGGAAGTGCTTGCATAAACATGTTATTGTACCAAGTGCTGAAGAGGTGGAGGCTAATCCTAGGAGCCGTTCAGCAAAGTTGAGAGCGGCTGTTAGGATTAAGTGAATGTTAGAATTAAAAATAAATTTATTGGATTTGTATTTGCGTGTTTTTTCTATGGTACCACTACCACAATATGTTTTGTAGCAGCAGCAGATTTTTTAAATATTTGTTTATATATATTGCAACCATGTTTGGTGCTTTATGTGCACAGCTGTAGGTAAGAGACCAGGTTTCAAAGCTTGATCCTTTATAGTCATCGTTATTCCCTTTTGAACAACAGCAAGAGTTTTATGCAGCAGCTCTCAAAAAATTTTTTTGAAAGGCTTGATCCTACTGGGTGTTGGTTTTAATAATAATAGCCTTTATTTCTCACACATCTTATAAAATATGCCAAGAAGAGAACAAAAACAAAAATTTCCAAAGATGGGGAGAAATCACACGGTGACAATTCAAATTGTTAGAATGCTACCTTGGTCTTCCAGTTGAATCTGCAGTCAACAGCCTAGGTACATCGCCTCTTTTTGGCTTAAGACTGAGAGCTCTAGAGTCTCAACGCGTCCCGCCGGCGTGTGTGGTGTAGTGCAGTTGAGGACTGCAGTACTAAAAGGGTCCCGGAGTCGGGCATGGATATTTGTAAATGTATAGTGGGTTGGGCTGGTAGAGTAGCCTTGGCTGAAATCCCACCCACTCAAATAAAAGCAAAAATAAATAATAAACACTAATTTTATACAATTGTTATACAGGGTCATTCTTGACGAGCGTCAGTTAGAAAGATATGGAAAACCTTTGAAAATGAAGATAAACTGATAAGTTCTTTAAGGGTTTTGGCACATGATGAATTGAACTAAAATATTTTCAAAATGGCACCACTTCCGGAAATACCGGAAGTAGCCAACAACTTTGTTATTTTATATAGGGACCCCCTATTTTTTCTACATTTTCGGATTCTACGTCGAATTTGGAGTACAACGATACCCCATAGTTGACCCTTTGCTCCAAGGGCTTCGCCGATATTCAAGTTTTTGTGTCTAAAATTGAATTTGCAGGGGTAACTTTAAAAATTTATTATTCGAAAACGGTGAGAGATATTGCAAAACAGTTTTCAATACTTTATTAAGGAAAGATCGAATTTTCTTATGGTATGCGTAACAGTCTAAAGTCTGAGACTACGTCACTTTTTCAAAGCTCTCATCTTTTAAACTTTTAAATATCAGTAATTCCATTTTTTCACCACCCATATTTTGTTCTACACCCTTGTTTTCCTTTTTTCCAGACCTTTAATTTGATGCAAAATGTCAAAAGCTGCTTTAAGCGGTTTCCGAGATATTCCATGTTTTAGTTAGGTACTTCTTGTGGAAAATTGATAAAAAAAATCGCTTGATGTTATTCTTTTGTTTTTATTATGATAATGTTTAAACGTCAAATTTTTCGCTGTTTGAACTTATAGTTCTGGTCAATAATGGCTCGTTTGGGTTACACTAATGAAGATTTTGTGATAATACACGGTGATTGTAATAGAATAGCTGCCAGGACTTGTCTTTTTTCCGAAAGATACCCTGACAAGGCGCAAATAAGAGGTCCCTATTTAGAATAACAAAGTTGACGGCTACTTCCGGTATTTGCGGAAGTGGCGCCATTCTTTGTGCACTCGTGTCTGATATTTCAATTTCTCTTTGGATATCATTAAGCGATGCAGTTGGATTTTCAGCAAAATACACCAGTACAGTTATTTCCTGTTCTTCAGAGTCTACCACAGGCTTCCTTTTTTGTATTTTTGTTTGAAAGATACCGTTATTCGTGAAATGTTTTAGTAATTTGCGAATTGCGAATAAAAACTTAATTTTTTTATCAATTTTCCTCAAGAAGCAACTAAAACATGAAATATCTCGGAAACCGTTTGAAGCAGCTTGTGACATTTTTGCATCAAATTAAAGGTCTCGGAAAAAAGAAAACAAGGGTGAAGAACAAAATGAGGGGTGCCATTTGAAAAAATGGAGTTACGGATATTTAAAAGTTTAAAAGTTGAGAGCTTTGAAAAAGTGACGTAGTCTCACTTTTTTAGACTGTTACGCATACCATAAGAAAATTCGATCTTTCTTTAATAAAGCATTGAAAACTGTTTTGCAATATCTCTCACCGTTTTCGAATAATAAATTTTTAAAATTACCCCTGCAAATTCAATTTTTGACACAAAAACCTGAATATCGGTGAAGCCCTTGGAGCAAAGGATCAACTATGGGGTATCGTTGTACTCCAAATTCGACGTAGAATCCGAAAATGTAGAAAAAATAGGGGGCCCCTATTTAAAATAACAAAGTTGATGGCTACTTCCGGTATTTCCGGAAGTGGCGCCATTTTGAAAATATTTTAGTTCAATTCATCATGTGCCAAAACCCTTAAAGAACTTATCAGTTGATCTTCATTTTCAAAGGTTTTCCATATCTTTCTAACTGACGCTCGTCAAGAATGACCCTGTATAGCGGTCCCATTCCACACTCCCGGGTCCCGGCGCGTCTCCTCGTCGACGTGCGCACAGAAAAGACCGGCAAGGGGGTGACTATGGAAGTCGGAATCTGCTATCAGTGTGTGAACTAACCTGTCAAAGTTACCAGCTTTAAAAATGGACGGCGCTTGAGCATCGTATCGTGCTTTTGGAAGTCGCCAAGGGCATCGCTGCGTTGCTCGGAACGAGCAAAGATAGTATGATCTTTGGAACGAGCAAAGATTAATGTAGTATGATCTTTCGAACGAGTAGTGGAATCGCGACGGTGAACCAGAAAGAGCGGGCGCAATTTTGTAGAACTGCGGAGGCAAGTCGCGCTTCATCTTGAACAGCTATAGGAGACTATAGTCAATGTCTGAAATACATCGAGGAGAACGTAATAGTAGATCTCTTGATTCAAGCGATTTCTCGCGGACGATGGTATGAATTCGGTTGGCGAAAGCCAAATTGATAATCAGGAATCAAACTAATTCTTTGTGTGATGAACGGTCTAATTTGCTTCACCGGAATTCTTTAAAATAGCTTAGATTTGCAGTAAAGAAATCTCATCATTCGGAGATTGTGGAGAAAATTTACGGTCTTCGTCGTCTTGAGCACAACGGTGGTATGGAGGCACAGAGCGCGACGCTGACGGACCTGGTGGAAAAGGTTAAAATGCAGACGAGTATAGTAGAGATTTTGTTTAGCAGTCTCCCAAAGATGTAGGTATCACGTATATCCTGAAGTCAGCTGGTTTGCATCAGGGTGTCAAGTCGTCCCCTTTTCTCATTGATGTGGGATATTTCAAGCCACGTACATGGCAAAGACATAATAAAACCACTTCCTGATAACTTGGAACGTTGCTATTCGTGGCTGTCAATAGTAGACAGACTCTTCTATCCATCATCATTGGTAAACTTTCAAATCGTACGCAGTTCGATCAACCTGAAGGTTTGTCTTAGCAACCGTGGCGATGATTCTGGTTTGGTTAGATATAGGTACTGATACGTGATACGAATTGGACACGGAAAGCCGAACTGATCGAAAGTTTAACAGGGGATTTTTGTTGACTTGGTTTCTTTGTGAAAGAACGATTGCATCCCGTTCTGAAGCTCATCAAGCTACCAAACTTTTAGTTCATCCGTCCTCACATAGATCTATAGGTAGGTATATTGATTTACATTCATTGACCCGGATTATGTGCGTTTTTGTAAATAGTTCAACCTGCAAAAGGGCATAAGAGAGAAATGGGATTGTGTACATTAGTTGATAGAAAAACGTGAGGTTGGTTGTAAAATTTATACACTTTATACAATTTAAAATAGTCCTTCAATTTCTCCCGTTTCCGTATTTAAGTCAATGTCGTATATCGATGGTCGTGTGGGTAGTCCTGGCATTTTGGTAATCTGTAAATAACAATTCAGCTATGCTCTAATATGAGTCTCGGAAGCACCTACCTCTCCACAAATCGGAACTATAAATCCGGCTCCAGCAGATAACGTCACATCGTTGATTTTCAGGGTAAACCCTTTTGGAGCACCCTTAATTGTAGGATCGCCTGTTAAAGATAAAGGCGTTTTGGCCATACATATGGGTAAATTTCCGTAGCCCTTTAATATAATTTTAGATACTCATCGGTGTAATGGTAGAAGCTCACCTGTGCTTGGTATTGTTCAACCCTTCCCCTAACATTTGGAGCAAGTTCAACTGCTTCTGCACCATACATATCTCTCGCTATTTTGCTCATTTTTTCTTCCAGGGACAGATTCAGATCGTATAAGTAGTGGAAGTTTGGTTGTTCCTCACTGGCGCGAATAACAGCTTCTGCAAGTTTTACAGCGCCAGCACCACCTTCTGCCCAATGTGTACAGAGAACTGCATCAAAAGCGCCATTTTCTACAGCCACTCTTTTAACCAAAGCAATTTCTGCATCAGTGTCGGCCATGTGCTTATTAATAGCAACGACCACTGGGACCCCAAACTGCCGCCCATTATTTATGTGCTTTATGAGGTTGGGTAAACCTTTTTGGAGGAGATCCAGATTTTCGTTGAGGTACTCATCTTTAAGCGGAGTTCCAGGAGTTACCAAGGGGCCACCTCCGTGCATTTTCAATGCTCGAATTGTAGCGACTAGCACCACAGCGCTAGGAATGTCTCCAGAAGCTCTACATTTAATGTTGAAGAACTTTTCCATACCTAACACATACATTAAGTTACTTTCTAGGTCTGTAACAGCACCCTGATGGTATTTTATCATTTTCCCAATTAAAATCAAAAACATGGAAATATCGCCTAATAACGCACGTAAGAATAATCGCGAGTAATTCCGCCCATTGCTCATACGTTTGGGGAAACGAAACGTATTCGCGCAGAACACGAAACATTGGAATTTTACGAAAAATGTCACTTACCAATGTCAGATCCGAAACCGGCCTCTGTTACTACGAAACCTTTTTCTCCCACCAACTTTAGAGCAACCTTGTCTGCCAAAATGGATGAACATCCATGGGCAATATTTGCGAAAGGTCCGGCGTGTACTAAAACGGGGCTTCCTTCGAGCGACTGCATTAACGTCGGCTCAACGGCATCTTTTAATAAAACCATAAGGGCGCCCGTTACACCCAAATCGTCTGCGGTCACTGGCTTCCCAAATTTATCGAACGCAACCACCATTTTGCTAAGTCGCTCTTTAAAATCGCCCAAATCTTTAGCGAGAGCTAAGATGGCCATAATCTCGCTCGAAACGGTTATCGCAAAACTGGATTCGCGAGTTAAGCCTTTCTCGGTTGGAGACTGCCCGATGGTAATTTTGCGCAGGTATCTGTCGTTTATGTCCACCACTACAAATAATGCATTGGTAAATGCATTTAAAGCGTATGATTTAACATAAAAACAGAAAAAACGGGAAAAGTACTCGAAACGTTTCATACCCACTATGCGTATCATGCGTACATTGCTATTCATTCGCATATTATAACCGGAAGAAATCCTTCTAAAAATATTCGCCGAGCCCGAGAAATTTTCGATTGACGCTTCTTCTTTAATTTTTCTTAACATAGAAGCAAAGAATATTGATAGAAGGATGGAATTAACGACAATGAAAAAATCATTAGATTTCTAATTACTCCAACGCGCACAACATAATCAATAAATTGAGATCTAGAAATTATAAACATTTTACATTTGTGTGGCCCAAGCAAGAATTGCAATTGGACTTTGTTTCGAACTTTTAAAAATAAATTTTTGATTCGTTTTTTGTGGTGGGAGTTTTGGAAATATTTTTACAAAACAAAAAGAGAATGCCCAAAAACCTAAGTAAAGCCGCAAATTGCATCCTTATGTTTCTAAGATGTATTATTTTGCATGTTTTGAATCCATACTAAGATATGGCATAATTTTCTGGGGGAATTCCACCTCTGTCGCTCGTGTATTCAAATTGCAAAAGAGAGCCATGCGTCATATGTTCAAGTTGTCTTACCTTCACCCCTGCAAATCCATATTCATTTCAAATGACATCCTTACCTTTCCATGTCTGTACATATTAGAAGTTTTAGTTTTTGTTAAGACCAATTTAGATATTTTCAATCGTCTGAACTTTAATCATCAATACAACACACGGTATGGTCATAATTTGCAATATGAAAGACATAATCTGGAAAAGTATAAAAAAAATCCCGTGTACATTGGAGCTGTGCTGTATAATAAACTTAGTTTACAATTAAAAAGTATAGATAACATATATAAATTTAAAGCTGAATTAAAGAAAATATTATTAAGTCACGCATATTACTCTGTAGATGAATATTTAAGTAACTGAATGTAAGTACGCTAGACCGTAGGACTTGTCTTATATCATAATATGATCGCTTAGACAAAATATATATTATTATTATTATATTGGTGTTTCTTGTGAGAACTCAGGTCTAGCCTGGTTAACTAATCGCACGGATTAAAATCAAGTAACGATTAGTGTCTGTGTCTGTGTCTGGTGAAGTTATGTAGGGTTCTAAAGAATAAAATAAAAAAAAAAAAAATATTCACACACTCGCATTGGAAATCTACGGATAGTATGTAATTCATACTTACCAACATAGCTATTAATGGCCACAATAGTCAACGCTATCAGGAAAGAAGAAAAAAAACAAAAATATCATTATAATAATTCCTGTAATTTTATTAAATAGAGTTTATTGTGTAAGTGTTTCTTTGGCTTTGCGTTTGGGTTGAATACGAGTGGGTTGTGATAACGTGGTGTGTTTATGTGAAAAGGGAGTTTTGTGTTTTTTAATTGTATTTATGGTGTTTCTTTGTTCCTGAGGTCGTATTTGTGAGGTTGTTTGGGTTTTTGGTGGAGATATTGCAGTATTTTGTGAGCCTGTGGTGCTGTTAATGTTTTTGCGCTTCGGTTGTATACGAGTGGGTTGTGACAATGTGGTGTGTTTCTGTGAAGAAGGAGTTATGTGTTTTTTAAGTGTGCTAGGGCGTGTAACTTTATTGGGTGGACCTGTTTTTGTAGTGCATGTTGCGTTACTTGTATTTGTGGTGTTTCTTTGTTCTTGACGTTGTATTTGTGTGGTTGCTTGGGTTTTTGGTGGGGGTATTACAGTATGTTGTGAGCATGTAGTTCTGTTAAGGTTTTCACGTTTCGGTTGAATCCGAGTTGGTTGTGATAATGTGGTGTGTTTCTGTGAAGAAGGGGTTTTGTGTTTTTTAATTGTGCTAGGACGTGTAACTTTATTGGGTGGACCTGTTTTTGTAGTGCATGTTGCGTTACTTGTATTTATGGTGTTTCTTTGTTCTTGACGTTGTATTTGTGTGGTTGCTTGGGTTTTTGGTGGAGATATTGCAGTATTTTGTGAGCTAGTAGTGCTGTCAAGGTTTTTGCGTTTGGGTTGTATACGAGTGGGTTGTTTCTGAGAAGAAGGAGTATTGCGTTTTTTAACTGTGCTAGGACGTGTAACTTTATTGGGTGGACCTGTCTTTGTAGTGCAAGTTGCGTTACTTGTATTTATGGTGTTTCTTTGTTTTAGAGGTTGTGTTTGTGTTGTTGCTCGCATTATTGGTGGAGACATTACGGTATTTTGTGAGCCTCTAGTGCTGTTAAGGTTGCTGCGTTTGCGTTGAGTACGAGTGGGTTGTGATAACGAGGTGTGTTTCTGAGAGGAAAGAGTATTGTGTTTTTTAGCTGTGCTAGGCCGTGTAACTTTATTGGGTGAGGGCGTCTTTGTAGTGCATGTTGCGGTACTTGTATTTATTGCGTTTGTTTGTTCAGGAAGTTGTGTTTGTGTGGTTGGTTGAGTTAAGGGTGGAGATATTACAGTATGTTGTGTGTCATGTTGTGATTTGTGAGTCTAAAGTGCTGTTTAGGCTTTTGTACTTTTTGGGTTGAATACTAATGGGTCTGTGATAATGTGGTTTGCTTCAGAGGTGAATCTCTGATATGTTAGTATATGTTGTATCATTTGTTGTACTTGTTTGTTCGGTTAAGTTGTATTTGTGTGTTTGTTTGGAGTTAGAGGTGGAGATATTACAGTATGTTGTGTACCGTGTTGTGATTAGGGAGTGCTTGGTGTTTACATGTATACGTTGGGATCATTTCGTGTATGTAGTATCTTGTGTTATGTTTAGAAATTTTACGAAACAAATATGGCATGTGTGTAATGACTGCTTTTTGTAATGTTTGTATGTGTTTTTTGTCCAAACCTATAGTTGTAAATTGTGGTGTATTGTCTTTGGCTTATTATTATTATTATTATTATTATTATTTCCGATGTCCACTTTCGAATATTCGATTGCAATCGTTTGTCGGTCGACTAAAATTATTCAGCTCTGTGACGTGGTGAAAAATGCCTGCGTTTGTTTACACATATCCCTCATGTTATACATGTTGATCGGGCATACATTGATATATACAATGTACTACATGTTTGTCAAAACCTGCAGTACGTAATGGATATCCAGATTACACACATCATCATCTGGTGGAGTAAAGTTGATGTACATTTGGCACAAGAATGAACTATCATAGGATGTCCAAGAATAACACTCGGTGCCATTGAATAATGACATGAAGTGTTTTTTCAAAATAAAAAATACTCAATAAAAATCATTATTATTTTATACGTAATGCAAACAAGTTAAAAAGTAATCGTAACCGATTTACATAAAGCGCATTTCCACTTGCATTCATTTCCCATTTGTAAGATGCAACTTCTGTTAAAATCGTAAAAATCCGGCCACAAATATGAAAGATAGCGTTGCACATGGGCAATCCATTTTTGACGTGCTACTTCAATTTCAGTTTATGAGAAGAATTTCATTTCAATGCTTTTCTAAATAAGAAAGTTGGAACTGCGCATGCGCAAACCTAAATTTTAAAACTAATGTTAGATTTTCCTTTGTTCCAAGCGCCTAAGTATCAAATTTCACTTAAATAGTTCCATAGATAAAAAAGTTGGCACTGCGCATGCGCAAAATAAAATTTTGAAACTGGCGCTAGATTTTCCTTTATTCCAAGTGCCTATGTATCACATTTCATTTAAATTCTTCCATAAATAAAAAAGTTGGCACTGCGCATGCGCAAAACCAAATTTGGAAATTGGCGTTTGATTTTCCTTTATTCGAAGTGCTTATGTATCAAATTTCGTTTAAATTCTTCCATAAATAAAAAAGTTGCCACTGCGCATGCGCAAAACCAAATTTTGAAATTGGCGTTTGATTTTCCTTTATCCCAAGTGCCTATGTATCAAATTTCATTTAAATTCTTCCATAAATAAAAAAGTTGGCACTGCGCATGCGCAAAACCAAATTTTGAAATTGGCGTTTGATTTTCCTTTATTCCAAGTACCTATGTATCAAATTTCGTTTAAATTCTTCCATAAATAAAAAAGTTGGCACTGCGCATGCGCAAAACCAAATTTTGAAATTGGCGTTTGATTTTCCTTTATTCGAAGTGCTTGTGTATCAAATTTCGTTTAAATTCTTCCATAAATAAAAAAGTTGGCACTGCGCATGCGCAAAACCAAATTTTGAAATTGGCGTTTGATTTTCCTTTATCCCAAGTGCCTATGTATCAAATTTCGTTTTAAATTCTTCCATAAATAAAAAAGTTGGCACTGCGCATGCGCAAAACCAAATTTTGAAATTGGCGTTTGATTTTCCTTTATTCGAAGTGCTTATGTATCAAATTTCGTTTATATTCTTCCATAAATAAAAAAGTTGGCACTGCGCATGCGCAAAACCAAATTTTGAAAGTGGCGTTTGATTTTCCTTTATCCCAAGTGCCTATGTATCAAATTTCGTTTAAATTCTTCCATAAATAAAAAAGTTGGCACTGCGCATGCGTAAAACCAAATTTTGAAATTGGCGTTTGATTTTCCTTTATTCCATGTGCCTATGTATCAAATTTCGTTTAAATTCTTCCATAAATAAAAAAGTTGGCACTGCGCATGCGCANTTTTAGGTATCTCATTAACTTACAGCGGAACACTTTTAAAACTTTTATACACAACACTGCCCAGTCCTTAAAATGTACACAAAAAGTACCGTTGTCATTGTGTTCTGTAACAAAATTTGGACTTTTTATAACATCGAGCTCCGCTGTAAAATTGTACTTCGGCAGAGCGGCGCAGTGCAAAGTATCTCGCACCAGGTTAACAGGCTATCGATCAATTAGTGATAAAGATTTACAGTTTGATTGGAACAAATTATGGCATTATTTAAAACCACACATCAATTTTTTCCTCGCAGCAATATTGGTATATTCATTGCGGATGGTTGTGCTTAATGTACATTTGACTTTAGGGAGCGTTAGCGGTTGCAATTTTAAACATACAAATTCCACAGTTGATGAGCGGTATAGTAAATGTAGTTGCACGCTTCAGCGATACTCGGGATACTGTCATCTTCCTGAAAGAAATTAAACTGCCTGCCCTACGCCTTTTATCAATGTACATTGCACAGGTAATATTGGAAACGTTTGGCGGATATTCTTAAATGTAATCACAGAACAGTCCGTATTTACAGCTTTCTACATAAACATGCTGTCTCATCTTGGAGAACGAATGGCTTACAATATTAAGACGGACTTATTTAGTTCAGTATTGCATCAAGATATTGCATTTTTTGATCAACAGCGTACAGGGGAAATCATTAACAGGTATGTACTGTATGTGCTATTAGAATTACGTCTGCCGCCTAATCCAGTGGTGCTGCCAGAAGTGGTTTCATTGGGTGAGTCAAGCATCACTTGAAAGGTGACAAAATTGTTATTCTATTTTACCTGTACATTATTAAGATTGGTTAGCGAGATGACATAAATTGCAGGTGCCCATTGTGGAATAGGACACCACTTATACAGGGTGGAACGTTAGCCTTGAAAACATCCCAAGGTCTCAAGCCGACATTTATTTTGGGACACCCTGTATATTGAATTTTTACATAAACTGATATTAATACTCAGACTAAAACGAGTCTCAGTGAGTGGGAAAAACTAAAATAATTCAATACCCAGTTGACAGCGCCTTAACCGCTGATGTAGAATACTTTTTAGCGCATTTTCCAATTCATGGTGGAAGGCTCTATTATGGCACTTATTGTCAGTCCGTCCGAGGCCTTAACTACTATAACAGTAATCCGGAACAAAGATCAGGAAACTTTGTTCCGGATTATCATTTACCCCATTTCGAGCTTCCCTGAGAGAATGGGTACTCAACAAGTTACTATAACAGTTTTCAATATATTTAATTCACTCCTGGTACCTGAGCCAAGAAAAATTTTGATAATATTAATGTGCGCATGCGATCAACTTTTTTTTTTTGATTAATATATTTTGTTGAAACTTGAACCACCTGATGCTCCTAGTAAAGGCTCGAGTAAAGGTAAACATCGCATATAGTAAAAATCAGATGTGCGCATGCGTAGATTACGCAATGCCTCCTTGCTTATTTATGGAGACATTACTTTGAAATGTTAACCAGAGATACTTTCTTGTTAAGAAAAATATAGTTCATATAGCTATGGCGCTTTGGGAAATACTCATGCATTCGCCTTAGGGCGAAAACTTTTTTTAATTTATTTATATGGTCAGCACTTTTTCCGAGGTGCGTCAAGTGAGAGGCACACTCTTAACATATATTTTTTTTATATTCTTTATGTACATGAACATTGTTATTGGGGTAACCTGTTATGTTCATAAATAAATAATATTTTGGGTAATTCCCCTGGCAGCGCCACAGTGCTGATCATCTGTATAGTATTGGAAATACTTTAGGTTAACGTCCGATGTGCAAGATTTCAAAAGTAGCTTCAAGCAAGTTATTTCTGGTGGTTTGAGAGCCACTACGCAAATAATCGGCTGCGCAATTTCTCTCATTGTGATATCACCACAAATGACACTTGTGACGCTGTTATGTGTGCCAGCCGTAATCACAACGGGATCTGCTTTGGGTTCGTTGCTACGGAGCACTTCAAGAAGCGCCCAAGCTCAGGTGTGGTGTACTTATGTATATATAATTTTCATCGTGGACATTTTTGCTTTGACAGATTGAAAAATCAACAGCAGTTGCCGATGAAGCAGTCAGTAACATTCGTACTGTGAGAGCGTTTGCAATGGAAGAGCTGGAGCTTGACATGTTCGAGCGCGAGGCAGAGCGGGCGCTCGTGCTGAATGAACGGCTTGGTTTAGGCATAGGATTATTTCAAGGGGGTGCAAACTTATTCCTAAACAGCATGGTATTGGCTACACTGTACATGGGTGGATATTTGTTATCCGTTAATCAGCTATCACCGGGGCAATTAATGGCATTTTTAATGTCTACACAAACGATCCAACGTTCACTGGCCCAAATCTCGCTATTATTCGGATCAGTGGTTCGTGGAATGGCAGCCGGTGCTAGAATTTTCCAAGTATGAATCATGATTTAAATTCTCTTATACCCACAAGGATTCTTTGATCCCAATAACAATTGCAAATATAAAACTGGGGAAATACTCCATCCACTCAGGTTAATGGTATCAGCGCCACTCACAAGGATACAAAACTATACAAATTATAAAATCTGTACCTATGTGGGTTCAGGAGTATGTAACCCCACGGTGTGCAGAATGTAATAGTGAGATAAACTCCATATACTTTTTTTTAATATTGTGGGATTTGATTTAGCCAAGAGTGGGTCTAGGTTCAGGGCACATAACCGCCATGGCGCCATATACTTACGGATAAATTGATTTTCGATTTTTTTCGATATTTTTAATAGTTTCTCAGAAAAAATGTAAGTGGTTTTTTCGAAAAAAAATTAATATCTCCGTAACCCGTTTACCGATTGGACCGATATATTCGATCATTTTAAAGAGCGTTTAAACGCGTCTCACGTATAAATTTGGTTTTAAAAAAAATGGATTCTACACTGAAAATCGAGGACATTCAATCTAAAATGAACAGTTTTTGTAGATAGAGGAACGATATGAACATTTTTTCAAGTCAGTTTCTTTCTACTGAAGGACCTCTCACTATTCTATTCTTTGCACCAATGTAACCCTCAAGAACCTTCCACAACTACTTTTCATTAACTCTTATTTTCAGTACATCAATTTAAAACCCGGCATGCCTTTGACAGGTGGAAAGATACTCCCCTCGGAAACTATGAGGGGGGAAATTGAGTTCAAAGATGTTGTATTTGCGTATCCCACTAGGCCAGAACAAGTAATGTTTTCCAATAACTTTTTCCAACTTGTAAAGCTTTGGATCACTTGTAGGTCATTTTACAAAATTTCAATTTGCGAATACCAGCCGGTAAAACTGTGGCAATCGTCGGAGGTTCTGGAAATGGAAAGTCAACAGTAGCTGCATTACTAGAAAGATTTTACGAGGTTAATAAAGGATCAATTACACTAGATGGGGAAGATATTTCCGAGTTAGATCCTACCTGGATGAGGCAATCGGTTTTGGGGTACATAAATCAGGAACCAACACTTTTTGCTACAACAATAATGGAGAATATTCGGTATGGTCGACCTGATGCTACCGACACAGAAGTAACAGACAAATGTAAAATGATTTTTAACACATCTTGTAATCATAGGTTATTGAAGCAGCTGAACTTGCAAATGTACATAGTTTTGTTATTGGATTCCCAAGAGGCTATAACACATTAGTTGGCGAACGTGGCACAACATTATCTGGAGGGCAGAAACAAAGAATTGCAATTGCCAGAGCGTTGTTAAAAAATCCTTCCGTTCTAATTTTAGATGAAGCTACAAGGTTTGCATGGGAGTTAGTATGTTTACCTACAGAGTGTCGTTCATGTAATTTCAGTGCTCTTGATACGGAATCTGAGAACATAGTTCAACAGGCTTTAGACAAAGCGAGAGAAGGGCGAACTGCATTGGTTATAGCTCACCGCTTATCAACAATAAAAAATGCGCACATCATTGTAGTACTTAGTAAAGGACGCATTGTCGAGGTAATAATCTTAACAAAACGTTCCACTTCTACACAAAGTGTTCCAGATGGGTACGCATGAAGAACTTAAAAATTTGAAGGCGCACTACTGGTCTCTTAATTTCCAACAGAACAGCGGCGAATAAAAAAAAATAAGAATTTATTACTAGTCGAGATTGAAATACAAATATTTAAACACAATTTAAAATTATTTAATACTAGGGTCAGTTCTAGTTTCCCTTCGAGTATCTCTTCCAAAACTTTTTTACATCATCATGGCCTGATTTATTTACAACCATCGTTCGCTTCTCCTTATTGCTCCAAATTAAATATCCGCTTGATTGAGCATATTCACGTAATACATTAAAGTCCGCCTACAATACATTGCAAATAAGTAAAGTCGCACAAACTGAAACAAAATCATCAAAAAACCAGGTGCCAAATTCTTGACAGAGCAGCTTCCTAGCTCAAACTAAAATCATTTTTAACAGTCTTTATGCCAAAATTTTAACGAAACCATAATACCGGTTTTATAAAAAAAAACTTGAGTCTTGCCGTTATCTCGGAAAATGGCCTAAGTACAAACGGAAAAAAATGTTGCTTAAAATGATATAAAACGTCGAAATTTTATGAAATTTTGACATGTCCAAAAAACGGTGACCGCAATAGCCATCTAGCTCAAACTGAAAAGCCGTATGAAAAGCTAAAAATGCAAACTTTAACGACACTTTGCTGACGAAACGCGTTTTTTTGGTGTTGACTACAAATTTACTTAATTAACAAAAAAGCACTTACCTGAGACAAAAATTGGCTATACAAAACTCCATCGGAATAAACTAGACGATTTCGTTCTAACTCCCACAGCTTGATTTGATCGATGACCGTGGGAGGTAACGCACTTCCCACTTCGCTCTGAAGCATTTGAGGATGTGCGTGTTGAGTGAGATATCCGATAATTTGTTCGGCAGTTATTCCCCCTCGTAGTGCTTGCCTAATTGAGTCGCGAGTCAATATTCCGACTACGACATTTGGAAATCGATATAATAAATCTGTAAATAATCCTAAAAGTGCTACTTGTAGATTGGAATCCGTATAAGCGTAGACCCTGTAATTTGTTTCGACGACTATGTAACCTTTCGGAACGTCTTCCTCTAACACTTGCGTTCCTTTACTTTGGCTACTGGTTATATTTAATGCTAATCTCGTCGGGTAAAAACGACCCGCTTTGCGCTACAATTGGAAGAATTACTTGTGGGTTTAAGGGTGCAGATAAACAAACAGATTTCTTATCGTATAATCTACTGAATAAAACTAGCTATATGGTCGCAGTGCTATAATCTCAACACCAGATGAATGACAACAAGATAATATTATACGGTGTTCCCGAGGATGTCCCACTTGTAAAGAAAACTTCTCACAACACAGCTTCTATCTACGGAAAATTAATTTGTATGTATTTTTTTGATAACAGTTGCAAATACGAAAAAATTACAAAGACCAAAAAGTTTCTAAACAAATCAGAAAATTAATTTCTTATTTTACAATCTACCAGCGATGCACCGAAAAATATTCACGGGGAAAAAGTGATAGTGAATCGCGCTTCACATCTTCAAAATGTAAACAAACTAATATCAGCAAATTCTTCAGAGAAAACAAATATCGTACTAAAAAATTCGGCGCTGTCACACTTGCGGGTCCAAGTAAAACTGCCGGGTCGTAACCAATATCCAGGTAGATCAACGTAAAAGGTAATCCAAAAGAAAGAAACGATGAGAAACTTAAAAGAAAACTATAAGGGTTGAGTTTTGAGTAAAGGTAAAACTTGAGTGAAAATATGTAAAACACCAATCCATAAAAACGTTTCAATGAAGCCACCACAGACATCAAAGAGAAGGACACTACAGGAATTAACTTGCATCAAAGATAGAGTAATATTATCTTTGCTTGCATCTACACTAATGGATTACAAAGAAGATACCTAGATGGCGTAAGGATATAAATAAGCGCAAGAAGTCAAATACTTAAACGGAATTATAAATCAGTAATATCAATTGGCAAGAAAATAACATTACAAAAAGAGTGAATGTTTTTAACGCAATAGTACTAATGTCGAGACTAATGTATTAGGGCGCGGACGCGATATTAGAGCAATGGGTTTAGTATTGTATGTTTGTCTTCAAGTACCTACGGCCTTGTGTAGGTGTAATCTAATCTCATCTAAGAATACCTATCACCAAACATTCCCCAAAAATCTTTTAAACTGCCATATTTTTTATAGGGAATGCTGAATGGTTTTCCATTGATTGCATGATGCTATGTAAACATACTTAGTGATGACGTCATAATACTCCAATGACATGCGCACAAATTAAAGAAAATCGTACTATATCTAGTATCTGTATACCCTACTACACTCTGTGCTCTGATATTATGCCTCTGATGGAGACATGACTATATATAAAAAATACAAGTTGATATGCCCAACCTATTTCGAAACTCACAAACCACCACTGGGCTGATATCTGGGCATTCAACAAATGACACCTTTTTAAACAAAATTCTTTCTGTTCATATGCATTAAATAAAACATGTGGCTTTCTACACGAAATTGCAACCCTCAGATAGACAATGGATGTAATTTCATTATTTGCTCACCTTACATGTTAAAATTTTACTGTACTGTACTATAGAGATCAAATTTTGTTTAAAACTAGGTACCTAAGATCAGAGATATAGCTGCAAACCATCTATGCATCACATTAACACTCTTCTATGGTGAGACAAGACAATCCAAAATTGCAATTGGGGCGCCTAGAAATTTATTGAGTTGAAAGTCATGAAGAAATTCTGTTTGTTTATCTTTGGATAAATGTTTTACCTTTCTTTGATACACTAATCCAAATTCACGCAAATGTTGTAAAAATATCAATAATCTAGGACTCATACCCTCCGTGCTATAATCCTATAAAAAAAACTCGCATTCAAGCCTAGGTCTACAGGTGAAAAATGTCTCACCTTTCCGAGTGTACTAAAACTAAGTTGAAACAGAAAAGTCAAACACTCTGCTAGATCTAAGCCTCGTTGCTCGACCGTATCGAGATACTGCAGCACAAAGTGCCACACTTGTGCTTGCCTATCTAATAATAAAAATTGAAAACCTTGGCGCGTAATCACAGGACTGCCGTCGCTTTCGTCCCGTTTCATTAGGCCGGCGTGCAATAAGATACGAACGGCGTCGGCCGATATTCCTTCTTGCTGTTGAGAGCCCACCATATAATGAAGGACGCACTCCCATCGTTCGGCGGAATATCCGTCTAAGAATGCGACATCTCTCGCCTTATTATCGGGATCTAAGGCAGAAGACATACTCCATGGTTTACCTCTGAGGAAATTCTTTCAATTACACTGCAGAACTTTGTAAGTACTCACCCCCCCAAAAGGGCTATTTTTAGATTATGTTTAAAAGTTGATGATAAAATCCATCCTTGTAAACCTCCAGGAATTGAGGCTTCCTGCCATACATACAGATTACTTAACACTTTACTAACATACACATGCTCTCTAGAAATAAGCAGATAAACCTCAGGAAATGCGTATTTAAAAAGTACCTACTTTGAAAACGCTTGGTGTCCCCAAGACGCTACGACTGCTTGGGGTACCGGTTGTTCAACAAACAGAATACGTATCACATACTGGCGTGCCAGCTCAGGCAATTCTCTACAAGAAATACTTTACAAATTCTTACAGAAAATGTTCAAGGCAGCACCTGTACACTGCTAAACATATAGTAGGGCGATTATACAGCTTTTCGAGAACATTTTGAGGTCTGGTAGTTAAATAATCGTATAAATTTTTACATTCCAAGTTGGTTGGTTGTATGAGCACGGAGTTATTTATTTGATTTGAACTCGATATGCCATTATCTGCCATTTAACTTAATATCACAAGTATATTTATTATTGTAGATGTATTTTACAGAAGCAAGTTTTATAGGTTAAGTTTACATTATCATATCCCCTGTTTTAACCTTTAGGGATTTTTATTTTATTCAATACCAATCTGTTATATATAGGAGGGCTCGATGTATCATGCCCGCCAGGAATGGCGGACACAGAACACCCGATACCGGTCTACAATCGTATGTTTTTCATAGCGAACCATACGATTGTAGACCGGCATCATCCTGTTCAAACCAACAGGTTCCAAATGTTGTTTGTTTTGCGAGCCGTACTTCGTGGTATTCATAATAAAAAATTTGCTGTGGCTAACATAGATGCCGCGATTCTGCCCTTTTATGTCCAAGAATATGTCGAATATGCCGGAAATGAAAGTTTGACACACTTGCACATGTGCGATTCTGCCCAAAAGCTTTTCAGCTCTTCCTTTTGTAGCCAAAAATATGTGTACTAAGTTTGATTTCAGTCGGTTCAGCCGTTTAGCCGGAAATGAGAGTACAGACAGACAGACCGATCGACATTTTGCTCGATTCGGATTCCTGGTGCTTCAAAACGTGTATTTCCTTACAACAGCGTGCGGGTGGTAAAATGGTACCCAATACAGTAGGTACCTATATTCTTTTTTCACGGACCGTATAAAGAAATAAATATGATGATTTCTCAGAATTGTCCCCAGACGCGTCCTTTCCTCCTACGCCTCTGTAGGAACACATTGAAAAACTGCTGTTTTTAGTTAACCTATTTATTTCCTAAATGTTTAATAAGAAAAATTAGAACATTTCTTATTCATTTACTAGTTTTAATTATTACAGGCATTAGACTCCCACTCTCAAGAGCCTGTGTTCACTTCCCGATCACAATTCTTCTGTTCAGGGTTCGGCTAACTTAGTACCTAGGGTAATGGTGCGCTGCTAAGGACCGCAATACTAGTCAGATTGCCGCTAAATGGACTCCAGATATGGCCAGGCCTAGAAGTACGTGGCTCTAACACCCTTAGACCCGTAAAAAATATTCAGATATATAAATAATATATTATAGGTACTTACCTACTACTTATTAGATTTATTTACTTATTTTGTAGACCATGTTACGAGGTTTGATTACGACTCCGAAAGTTCGGAACTTCCAATTGATTTTGCATTTTCGATTCCAATAAATTTTAATCTAGTTATAATTTTATATTATATTTTTATATTTATTAATCTAGTTATATCAGACGATGCATAGCGATTTCCTCACCCCATGCCTTCTGTTG